GGTTATGCAAAATTACTGGAAAGTAAAGTACGGCTTTAATTTTTGCTTTGGCCGTTTTTTTTTCCAAGCAAATATATTGCGGAAAAGTACGAAATTTCGTTACCGGAAATTACGGATAACGAAAAAAAGTAAATCCAAACCACAAGCCGGTTGTTAATTTAACCGGCACGGATTTGCTTTAAATAGCTTTATTTTTTGCTCAATTTAATCCACGCCTTTTACTTTTAACTTTTTTGTGCACCGTGCAAAAAGTGGTGGGCGGCTCATTACCTTTTTAACGGCGATACATTGGTTTCTAGCTAATTTGGGTGGGGAAAAAGTGTTACAGAAAAAAACGTCGAATTGCCCCGAAAACGTCGAATTGCCCCGCCGCACTTTACTCCGGAGGACCGTTAAATTGCAGGCGCTTTTAGCCCGCACGAGTACCTTCTTGTTGCTATCATTCATTCCCTTGTGCCCGGGCTCCAGCGTCGTGCCAGAAGTGGAAGGCTTGGTTGATTAATGCGAGCGTGCGGTTCCCTATCCCGAAGGGGAGGGAGCGGGCCCCACGGACCGTTGCTCGAGGGGTGTGTGTGGGCCAGCGGGTGGACACGCACACGCCCCCTCCCTGGCTGGCTACCCCGGGCACTGACCTCCCCAGATATGGAAGTCGTACCTGGACATGGGGAGATGAAAGAGATATTTTGCTATCCTTCCCGCGCCTCAAAGTTACATCTTTTTTTTTTGTCTCCCCATCCAACTCCAACTTGGTGTTTGTTTGTTCGCGGAACACACTCTCTTCCGTTTGTTTTTGGTCCGTTTTCCTTATCGTGGCAGGGCCTTCGTTTCCGTCCATCACTTCTCATTTGCTCCCGCAACTGCAAATTTACGATCTGTGATCGCTCATTCCCTCCTTCCAAGCCCTTCCGGTTCGAAACCCAGGGTCGCCATCTCCTTGTGTGATCTCACTCCCTTGATATCGACTTACCAACCCTCGACGGTCAGGCGCCCTTTTTCGAGGTCGGCCCTTCCCATTTTCGAAACAACAACAACATACACGGCTCTTTATCGTCTCTCCCTTATAGGTTGATCCTGCTGCTGCTTCAGACCCGAGGTCGCCCTGATTTTTTTTCCTTCTTTTTCTTCTCGCTTTGGATTTCCCTTGGTATCACCGAATCGTCTCGAGTCCGACCCTTACAAAGACGGCCCATATCCCAAACGCCCCGAGTCAACGACGAACGACTCGAATCTCAGTCCTATCTTTCTTCCGCTCAAACTACCTACCTTTTACCTCCTACTCGGGTAGTACTGTCCACCAAAAAAAAAACCCCCCAGCCAAAATGCTCGTCAACACTGTCCTCGCCGCGGTCCTCCTTGCCGCCACTGGCGCCCACGCCCGGGTCATGCCCTTCCACCACCCCAACGTGGCGGTTCCGCAGCAGCACTTTGAGGTGCTCAACATGCGCCAAGCGTCGCGCATCAACCCCAGGGCCGTTTCCGACGTCAAGTGCACCGACGCCAACGTGTATGTTTTTTTTTCTTCCCTTCTTCGACAACCCCCACCCCCTTTCCCAAAACAAAAAAAACTGACACAACTCACCCACCAGCCGCATCGTCTTCCACGACCAAAACGTGGCCGAGCTGGCCATCTGCGGCGGCATCGCCGGCTCCGTCACAAAGTGCGAGGGCAGCCCCTCGTCGACGACGGGCCAGTCCGGGTCGGCAAAGTTCTCACTGACACCCGTCGAGGAGGGCGCCACCATCAACATCTCAAAGGGCCGCTGGGAGGAGTGCGTCCGCGCCGCCCGCGGCGTCTGCCCCACGGGTTCCATGACGGGCGTCTGCTCGGGCGGCGCCTCGAGGGGCGACGTCGCCTTCACGCTCGCCAACCCCTAAGCAAGGAGCTTGCATGCCGCGCATTATCAAACAAGAGAGGGGGATGTTTCGCGCAACATTCTATCTTTGGCATGTGTGGGTGTGAGGGTTGTGTATTTCTCATCTTTTCTCCTTCTTGGTTGGCAATTTATCATGACATGGCGTTGGCTTTTTTTGGGGGGGCAAGGGGCTAGATGGCATATGGGGCAATCATTCAAAGTTTTTCGTTTCTGTTTTTAACCCGTCTTTCTTGGGAGGAGAAACCGCCAACCTTTTTTCAAGAGTTTTGGACGGGGGCTTGAGGGGCTTGTCATTTGCGACGTGGGATGGATTTTGGAGCAGATGGACGGACGAGGATCCAGCAAGGATTTCCAAAGAAGCACCAAAGTGTGTGAACCTTTTGTACAACACCATACCTTCTGTTATAAGCAGTGTATATAGTTCTTCGAGACAACCAAGGGCCAAAGTAGCCGTGTATATACAATTCTAGATTCTTCAAAATCAGCCCGAAATTGGAGGGGTATGTTTGGACGCTGACCGTTTGTGTGGCACCGTGGATATAAGTATGGTGTTCATGTCTCGTGTAAGCCGCGGGCGGTCGGTGGTTGCACAGTGCATTTAGCGTCGTGTGATTGCCTGCCAGGATGGAGATGACAAGCCGAAGGTGGTGCACAGAAAAGGGCAAAAAGAAGGCTTCGCTTATGAGTGAAAAAAAGGAAAAAGAAATCACTAAATTTGATGCGACACCACCATCCACCCCTCTCTCATAGCCCGTACCGGGTGACGCACTCCTCGCGGTGCACGTCTAGGCAGTCGAGGGCGCACACGCGGGCGCCGCACTTGATGCACTTGACCCTGCCCCAGTAGCCGCAGACGGCACAGAAGACACGGGCGGGCGGGAACGGCCTGGGGGGTGGCCGGTCTCCTCCTCCTGCCCCTTCGTCGTAGTCGTCGTACTCCTCGTCCAGGTCGCGGCGCACGCGCGCCATCAGCTCCGGGTAGGGGGCGGGCGGGGCCAGCAGCAGGGCGCGCAGCTCGTCGTCGGTCGGCAGGGCCGGCACGCGGCTGGCGAGCAGCGGGTCGGCGTCGGCCGGGTGCGGCGCGGGCGTGCGGCCCGTGTAGGCGGGCAGGATGGCGCTCTTGTGGCGGGCCGAGGCGGTGTCGCTGGCGGCGGCGTCTTGGAGTTGCGGCGGTGCGGGTGCGGGTGCAGGTGCAGGTGCGGGCGTGCTGGGCGACGGGGGCGCGTCTGTCATCTCGACGTCTTCGCTTGGTCTTTGCTGCTGTCTCCGGCTTGCGCCGCCGCGCCGGCTGCTGCTGCTCGCGCCACCGCCGGCGGTGGTGGGTGTTGCTGCTGCTGCCGCTGGCGTCGCGGGGGCTGGAGTTTGAGGTTGGGAGGGACGGGGCGTGGCCGAGCCCGAGAGCGGGTCGGCGCCGCTGCTGCCTAGGGCCTCGAAGTCGCTGAGGTGGTTCGCAAAGGTCTTTTGCGACAAGAGGATTTTGCGGACGGTGGGGGTGGATTTGCTCAGGGCTAAGTTTGGAGGGTTTTTTTTTGTTGTCAGCGCAGGGTTAGTAGTCAGTGTGGGGAGTGAGTGAGGCACAAGCAGCCACACGCACCTTTCGGCCCTCCCGACCTGGCCGGGACGGGGATGGCGACGTCCTTGAAGTTGTCCCGGTCGAGCAGCTCGAGCTCCTTGCGGACGGCGGCCTCCTGGCGCGCTGACAGGTCCGACAGGCTGAGCTTGGAGCGGGGCCCGCCGGACCGGGCCGCCCGCTTGCGCCCGGCGGGCTGCAGCGCCGCCACGGCCGGGTTGATGCCCGTGTCGGGCACGTACGCCCATCCCGGCGCCGTCGTCGTCCGCGCGCTCGCCACCTCCACCACGCCAAAGTTGTTCATGGTTGCGTGTCTGTCCGGTCCCTGGGGGGGGGCTGTCGGTCGCGGCGTCGCTGCTGTCCGTTCGTCGTGGAGGTTATGGCGTTGGCAGTGCCGTCGTGTTTCGAGTGCAAATCGTAGCCTTGTCGGTTGGTGGTGCCAAGTGAACGCGCTTTGGTTTTGCGTCTGACGTTTTTTTTTTCTTCTTGCTGCGATGCGGCTACGCGACGCACTGACGTAAATGCATTCGCCCGCTGCGGGGTTGACCCCACAGGCGGTTTACCGCTAGGACGACAGCGGCAGCTCCGCTGGCCATTGATCGAATTGATGTCTAGTTTCTTGACTCTACATTTTCCCTCAAAACAAAAAAAAAACACATCACCGCCGCCTCGCACCGCCCGTCGCCCCAGGCCCCGCGCCGCCGCCCTCGCCGCCGCCGCGGTCCGCGAGCGAGACCACCTCGCCGATGCCCGCGGCCTCCTGCTCATCCTCGAGCGCCGTGATCTCCTCCCGGCAGTCCCACCACTTCTCCTCGCTCAGCTCAAATGCCTTGGTCTTGATCTCCTTGATGGACAGGCTTTCGGGCTGGATGTTCTTCCAGCGCAGGTTCGTCATGAGGATCTCCTGCCACTCGTTGGACGTACGCACGAAGAACTCGCGCCGGGACTCGAAGGGCTGTTTTTTTTTTTTTTCGTCACGTATAGAAATTAGCATCGTTTTCGTAGTGGGCGGCTGGGAATACAGCGGGTTTCAAACTCACCCTTGGGTGTGGCAGCCCGTCGTCCACCGCCGCCTCTGTCGCTTCCGTCTCGTCTTCTTCCGAAACGGTGGACGAGCCCAGGCCTGAGTCCGTATCGGCGATGGACTCCAGTTCTTCGGGCTTCTTGCCGCGCTTGCTGGGAGTGAACTTCTTGGGGCTAGTGACGTCCATTTCCACATCTTCGTCCTCGTCATCCTCGTCGTCTTCCTCGTCATCCTCATCGTCGTCTTCTTCGTCCTCGGACTCCTGTAAACGTCATATGTGAGCCGAAAGTCCAGTAAAGAAAAAGAAAAAAGAAACAGAATGAGAAGAGAGCGCCTTACGATCCAGTCTTCGGTAGGCCTGTTGAAGATCTCCTTACAGCCGTTCATCTTGTCCAGGTTGATGGCGTACATGTCGTCAAACGTGAACTCGCGGTCGCCTTTCTCGAACGTGCCGCCGTAGATGTAGAGCACGTCGTCCTGGATGGCGAGCTGCGCGTTGAAGCGCGGGTGCGGGAACTCCATGGAAACCGGCATCTCCCTGACCGGCTTGCCGCCGTCATCGTCGTCCCCTTCCGCCTTCTGCCGCCCGCCGAGGTCGATCTCCATGGCGTCGGCGTCCTCGAGCGACGCCCCCGTCTCGAGCGCGGCCAGCTGCCTGAGCAGCTCCTCCTCGTTGGCCTGCGCGCGACCCCTCCGACCTCCCCTCTGCTGCTGTTGTCCCTGGTCACCGCCGCGCTTCTGCCCACCGCCGGCGCGGGCCTTGCGCAGGGCGAGCGGGAAGAAGCGGTTCCGCTCAATGTTCCAGGCGAACAGGCCGTTGAAGAACTCGCTCTCCATGCCCTCCTCGCTCTCCTCGACGTCGTGCACGCCGCCGAACAGGATCCCGCGCCGCCCGCGGTGGTGGTAGGCCATGGTGGCGCCCGCGCGCTTGGGCTCGGGCGAGTTGGCCGGCTTCTTGCGCCGCTCCCACCGCACCGCCGGCGCCGTCCCCGGCGCCGCCTCGGGCGGCGGCTGCGTGATGCGCAGGAAGAAGCAGTCCTGGTGCACCATGGGTTTCAGCACGCTGCGCTGTGCTCCTCCTCCGCCGGAACCGCCGCCGCCACCCTTGCTGCCTCGTGCGTTGGTGGCCACGGTGGCCTTGACGCGTGAGTAGCCGCCGTACAGCACGGCGCCCTGCTCGTGCGGGAGTAAAGTAAAAGACGAGCGCGCGTCGGGCTTGAGCTGGGCGGCCGGCAGGGCCGGGCTGTACCAGACAAAGTTCTGCGTGTCGTACAGCCACAGGTCGGCCAGGTACTTTGTCTGGTTGGCCGTGTCCTGGAAGCCGCCGAACAGGACGACGTAGTTCTTGTAGTAAGTCATGCGGTGGCCGCTGCGCGCGGGCGGCGTCTTGCCCTTTGGCTCGAGGCGCGTCCACTCCTTGGACGCGGCGTCGAGCTGCCACAGGTCGTTGTAGTGGTAAAAGGTCCCCTGCTTGGGCGAGCTGAACTCGCCGCCGAACAGGTACACGGACGAGGCCTGGTTCCCGCCCCGGCACCACGCGTGCCCGGACCGCGGCAGCGGCGCGTTGGGCGACGTGACGGTGCGCCACTCGTCCTTGTCGACGTGGTAGACGTGCAGGTCGTTGAAGAAGGTGGCCACGGCCCCGTTGAAGAGCTCGCCCCCGAACATGAGCAGCTGCTTGCTGTTGCACGGGGACGCCAGCAGGCACGACGCCGCCCGCGCCCGCGGCGGCGCCTCGGCCACTGTCTCCGTCACCTTGAGGTACTGCTCCTGCTGCCTCTTGTATTCCTCTAGCACCGCATCCAGGTCCACGTCCTCGCCATCGCTGTCGTCTGCCTTGGCCGCCTTGGTTTTGGCCTTCTTCTCCGCCTTCTTCTCCTGCTTGGCCTTCTTCTCGGCCAGCTTGGCCTTCTTGTCGCTGCCCTTGCCCTTTTTGTCCTTGGCCATCTTTGCAGCGCCTAGGGCAGCGTGCGACTTTTATGTTTTACAAACCCCTTTTTGGCTCCTGGTCCCTTGACGCACAAATCCCCAAGGCTGGGGTTTGGGTTGCGGTAGGACTTAGGCACTTGTGAAATGGAGGTGTTCAAGCTCTCATGAGGGGTCCATCAACGGGATGTCGTGGTGTGAAAAATAAAAATGGGGGGAGCCTGGTTCATGTAAGTTCTCGACGTGGGGAACCTGTCGGCGGCAGATCAAACAAGCTCTCCAAAAGCACCAACCAGATTCTAGCTACCCGGAATTTTCAAGGTGAACGACCATTCGTCTGTTCTCCTGATTTCTCTACTACTCACTTGATCGTCTCGCACCGTCCTCATTGCTCGATTGCTGTGTTATTGCCGCGACAATGTATAGCGATTCTATGGAATCCATTGATGGATACCCAGTCCATGGGGTCAACTCAACGGATCTAGATATCTACCTGGAATGGCATTAATGAGACGGCCCTAGCCAGGTGGTATACGCCCTTCTATCCACATGCACTCCCCATTCAAGCGTCTAGGTGTGTATGTGTAAACATGTATCCCTGCCTTCACCGTTGAATTTTGTCGTTACGAATTACTCATTGCCTGCTACCAGTACCGGAAGTCGGGCGCGCGGCGATGAGGGATCGACTAGTATCCCTTCTCCTTGAGCCACGAGGCCACGTCCTCGGCGTCGCGCTTAACCCAGGTAATCTTAGATCGGATGGAGTCAAGACTCTGCGCCAGCGATTGATCGTAGCCCTTGTTGTCCTTGGCCCCAAAGAAGGTCTCGACCCGCTCCAGCTGCTCTTGCCTGGTGAAGCTCGATGTGGAGATGGTCACGACGGAGCCCAGCATCGATAGTGCTGGCGGCAGCTTCTTGACCAGCTCCTCCCAGTTCGCAGTCATCCAGTTGTAAACGGCCTCGATACCCTCCGGGTGGCTCCGGAGGCCGGTCAGGGGCATGTAAATGTCCTGGTCCTTGATCTCGCCGCTGAAGATCAAGTCGAGCGTCTGCTTGATCAGCGCTGGGTCCCTGGCACGGCCCAGAGAGCGCAGAGATGTGTTGCGCTCATCGCTGTTGCTCGATGCCCGGTAGAAGTCCAGCACTTGCTTGTACTGTTTCATCGCAAGGGGTTTGTTAGCCTATTCACCCCTCGCACCGTCTCATCCTAGTCTATTGACACCATCAACGCATGAGTCTTTCCCCAAGGGTCACATACCGCGTCTGCTCCACCATACTTCAAAGCCATCGCAAAGACGCTTCCACGAATGTTGGGATGGACAGCGGACTTATCGCCGGCCATGTAGCGCTTGAACATCTCCTTGGCTGTGGCAATGATGGTGGTGTCTCCAGAGAGCCCGGCCGACCCGAAGAGCATGGCCTTGAACTGCTGCTCGATGTGGCCGTCTTGATCCGAAAACTCCCAGCCCATCTTATGCGCCCGGGGGCTGATGAGGTCCCGCTGGAACGCCTCCAGGCTATTCCTCACCGCTTCGTCCTCGAAGATCCAGGCGCCCTGCACAGTAGACAGACGTCCGATTATCTCGTTCCAGACGACAAATTCGGTCTCGTCGCTGAATCCCTTAAGTAAGCTCAGGACTCCCGAAGTCTTCTGGTACCCCGATGCAGCAAGGGCGCCAGCGTCGGCGAGCATTCCTGCCCGATCCTCAACCGACAGCAGCCCCTTCTTTGCTGCCTCACCGAGTTTCCCCAGGCGCTCTGGCGTGTAGGACGTGCGGAAGAGGCTCGTGTGGTTCGCGTTCAGCTTGAAGAACTCGGTGCTCGACAGCTTGAAGTTGTCCTCCCTCTTCTTGAGCGTAATGGACTCATCGACGCCCTCCTTGGTGCGAAGGCCGACAAGGACAGGGTAGAGGACCTCGTCCTCCTCGGGCTTGGTGTCCCCGGTGCGCAGGAACCGGTTCTGCTTAAGGTGGATCGTGCTCTCCTTCTCGTTCTCTGTCACCGTAATGACGGGATACCCAACATTCTTGGTCCAGATTGTCATGACTTCGTGCACGGGCTTGCCACTTGCCGCAGCCAGCGCGTCCCATAGATCGTCGGTGGTCGTGTTGCCGTAAGCGTGCTTCTTCAGGTATTGACGCACACCTTCAAGGAAAACATCCTCTCCGAGATACGTCGAGATCATGCGGAGGACGCAAGATCCCTTGGAGTACGAGATAGCGTCAAAGATCTGGTTGATCTCGTCGGCCCGCTTTACTGGAACCTCAATGGGGTGGCTGCTCCTCAGAGAGTCCAGGGACAGGGCTCCCTGGAGAGTGTCGGTGACGTACGACTGCCACACCTTCCACTCGGGGAAGAAGACGTTGCAAGAGTACCAGGACGCCCAGGTAGCAAAACCCTCGTTGAGCCACAGGCCATCCCACCAGTCCATGGTGACGAGATTTCCAAACCATTGGTGGGCCAGTTCGTGTTGAACGACCTCGGCAACCCGCTCCTTGGTCGCGGCGCCGCTGACCTTCTCGTCCAGTAGCAGGTCAACGACACGGTACGTGACCAAGCCCCAGTTCTCCATGGCCCCCTGGGCGAAGTCGGGGATAGCGACCTGGTCCATCTTTGGTAGTGGGAAGTCGATGCCAAAGACCTTCTCGTAAAACTCGAGCGTCTTGGCGGCGAGGTTCAGGGAGAAGCGGCCGTGCTCAATGGGGAGCCCAGGGGGGGCGTAGACACGAACGGGGACGCGGAATTCCTTGGTTTCGATGTAGTTGAGCTCACCAACGATGAAGGCCAGGAGGTAGGTGGACATGAGGGGGGAGTTGTTGAACTTGACGGCCTTCTTGACGGCGCCCGTCAGCTTCGAGGTGACTTCGGACTCGGAGGCGACGTCCATGTTGCTCAGGCAGGTGAGCTTCTTGTCAGCCACCAGGGTGACGGCGAAAGTGGCCTTGAGCGACGGCTCGTCGAAACAGGGGAACGAACGCCTGGCATCGGTAGGCTCCATCTGGGTCACGGCAAGGACGCCCTCGGAGCCATCGGGCCTCTTGAATGTGGCTCTGTAGAAGCCAGCCATCTTGTCGTTGAGGGTGCCGGTGAAATCAATGGTGAGCTCGGCCTTGGTGCCCTTGGGGATGGTCTGGTCAAAGTCGATCTTGGTGACCTGGGTGTCCTCGTTGTACGAGACCTTGGGCGAGTCGGTGACGGTCTTGCCGCCCGACACAATCTTGACCTTGAGCACATCGAGCTCGAGGGTGTTGAGGGAGATGGAGGTGGAGTCCTCGGCGACGTCAAGGTGGACGACGACGGTGCCGGAGAAGGTGAACTTGTCCAAGTCGGGCTCCAGGGTCAGGTCGTAGTGCTTGGGCACGACGTTGACCGGGAGCAGCTCCCTGGCGGCGGTGCTGGGGGCGACACCGCCACCCATCTCGACGCCGGCGCGGGATCTGCACATTGCGTGACGGCGGTAGGAGCAGTATCTGGCGGGGGGCTTGTTGCGGGACAGGAGGCGTGTGCTGGACCGCGGCTGGGCGACAATGTGACGGTGCTGCTGAAGGGCGGTTGCACCGGCTGTCGAGGCACCAAGGGCTGGACCAAGGACCGAGTATGATAGTCTCCGCGTTTGCAGGAGAGGGGAGGGGCCGGTCCTGCAGGTCGGGCGTGGCGAAGGAGGGGCGGGTGCGATGCACTGATTAGCGACTACCTGAGGTGGAGGTGGAGGAGGAAGGGGGGTGGTGGGGGAAGGAGGGCGGTGGGGGCGGGATGGGACTGTGCTGGAAGACGGAAGCCAGGACCGCCGAGTGTGGGCAGCTCCAGCGGCTCGATTAGGGTTCAATGACTGTCGGACGGCCAGGCCAGTAGGGGTTGACTGCAGTTGCCATCTGTCCCCGTGTGCACATTGGACGGTGCGGGGAGGGACCATTGAGAGGAAAGAGATGGATCTTGATCCAGCCAATACTAACAGTTGCCGTATTGGGCTAATTACGGCCACGCGCCGACAGCGCAGCAGCGACGCTGGCGTTGCTGCTGGTCTTGATTTTGTGCTGAGCCAGGATGGAGAGGAAGCCGGCTGGCGTAATATTCCACTGCGGGAAGGCAACAAACGTGAGGAGCAAGACATGGCACAAGAAAAGCAGGAGATAGAGAAACTAGTAAAACAATATACAGAAATTCAGGACCATCGGCTGCGTGCTCGTCCGGGTATCAACAGTGCAGTACATAAAAAATGTGACATTCAACAGAAGGCGAGAAAAAAATCAGACGGTGTCTGCGATTGAGCTTGTCCGTCCCCCGCATCTACCCACCAGATAGGAGCCGAACGGTTCGGTGGCGCTAAGCCGCTTACGGATACGGCTACCACTGAACATGGAATATCGCGACCCTACCTCTTTACAGAACATCAAAGATAGAAGAAAAAACGTGCCACTGGAAAACAACAAGGAAACACCAGGTATGATGGGTATGCGTATAATTACGCTCAAGCTCCGCTGTGAGTCTTAATGACAGTCAAGGAGAGTAAAAAAGAATGTGCCGCGTTACGGGCTGGGTATCATAACTCAAGCCTCGTCGCAAAGACCAGTCCATGGAGAAATACCAGATCCGCCGCATCCATTATGTTTGTGTTCTTCTTTTTTTCATTTTCGTCAGTTTCCTCATTCCTGCTGACGTCTTGTGGCAAGTACGCCCGCTCCAGACATTGTCTCGGGCGACCGGGGCGCCTGCCCATCGTCCATCATCATGTTGAACTGCGGCTCAGGCGGCATGGCCCTCTCGCTGGGCCCCTCGACACCGCCATCGCTGGCACCATCAACCACAGAGCGAGCCCCTCGCTGCTCAGCCCTGCGTACGCGGCCGGACTGCTGCCTAACCCACGACGTGACGGTACGGTATCTAGGCTGCGCGTCGTCGCTCGACTCGGTGTACACCGTGTCCCTGCGGCTGGCCCATGAAACACGTGCTTCCGTGAGGTACTGCTGTGCCTCGCTCTCATTACCACCAACGGCTCTCCCACCGTGTGCGGGCCCGGCAAGGGGTTGCCGCGGCAGCTGTGGCACGACAATGTCACCGTCCCCGAATCCAGATGACAGCGACGATAGCGCCGACGCCCGGCCGACCTGTCTCTTGGCAGGATCGTAGGCATTTGAAGGCTGCCGTGCGAGCGAGCTTTGGTTATAGCCATTCGCCGGCCCCATCCGAGACCTCCAGGTGCCCCCGACATCGCTGCTCGGAGTAGTAGCACCGAATTGCGCCGCGTTGGTTGAGCTGAACGAGCCGGTGGCCTGGTGGGTGAACATGCTGGTGCCAGTGCCTGTGCCTGGACTCAGCCCCCCAGGACTGTAGGCGTTGCCCGCAGCTGCGAAGGCGGCTTGGAACTGCATCTGTTGCCACTGATTCGGGCCTACCGGCCATGTTTGCCCGCCCATCTGCTCCTGCTGCCGAGTTGCAGGGCTCGTGGGGGACCAGGTCGTGGCACCACTAAGCTGCTGAGTCTGTAGCCGGAGTTGTGGTGGAGGTGACTGGACCGGAGGAGACTGTTGAGATTGCGGCGACGCAAGTGTTGGCAGTGGAGCTTGCAGTGAGTCGACCTTTTCCGAGCCATAAAAGTCCTTGATTAGCGCCACAGGAACCTCGGACGGCCCAAACGTTAGGGGCCGGTCCTTCTGATCACCGTAGCCGTTGTCGGTAATATTCAGCCAATGCTGCTGTTGGCGACTTCTCAGAAACGGCAGCTTGGCCGCTAGCCTCTGTGAAATTCCCGGCCGTTGGTGAGAGCTGGATGGCCTATAGTCCGATTGCATCTCGGTTTGCTTGCGTCTTTTGCTCTTTCTGGCAGTGCGCCAAATGATCCATGCGAGGAAGCTGATAGAGATGAAGGCTCCTGAACATACGAAAGTGCAAGACCAGTCAGTCAAAATCGAGACGGATTGAGAGAGAGAAGGGGCTCCAAGAAAATTTACCGACCTATAGAGCCAACCGATATCAGCACCCGCTCGGTTGTGCCGCTCATAACCTCTCTTTGACCCATCGACATCTCATTTCCGGATTTCTGCCATTGAGGATCCCTAGAAGCGCCGTCGCCAATCCCAATGCCTGCGATGTTGGCGTCTGCAACGGGGTTGAGTGTCGGTATGCTCGCGGAGCTAGCGCCAGATGCAAGGGACGAGGATGATTGGTCTGCTATGCTGACGCTGGCAGTGGACGTCGCTCCAGATGATGTACCTGACCCCGGTGTAACGTCGCCAGTTGTTGTAGGTGGACTGGGGGTGGCCGCAGTAGGGTCCTGAATCTGGAGCGTTAGGGAAGAGTACGAGTGATACGATCACGGCATAGACTTACAGAAGTGAGAGTGGCCGAGGGGGCCGGGGCAGCTGTTTCTGAGCCAGCCACGGGGGCACTAGAACCAGCCGATGGCGAGATGGTGGCAGCCGGGCCAGTAGTGGTGCTTGCAGGGGCTGACGGAGCTGATGAAGCCGATATTGCGCCATTGACCTCGTCTGGAATCGATGAGACAGCCGAGATGGGCACCTGGGCCGATGATCCGGTAGTGGGAGGTGCTGAAGCGGAGCCAGAGGCGGGAGACGACGTCGGAGCGGCTGACGGCGCAGTCTGAGCCGTTGTTGTATCCCTGTCGCGGCCGTCGCCGTTCCTGTTGCCGCCATTGCGGAAACGGTTGCCGTTATTATTGTTGTTGGTGTTGTCGTTGTTGCGGTCTCCGCCGCCGCCGTCTCTGTTCCTAGAGCCCCCGTCACTACCACCGTCGTTTCTGTTGTTGCCAAACCTTCCGCTCCCACCGTCACCCCTATTGCTCCCGCTGCCGCCGCCGCCACCATCTCCCCGACCGCCCCCTCCACCATTTCCTCCCCCACCCCGGCCGTTTTCACCTCGTCCGCTGTCATTCGAGTCTCCGCCCCCACCGCGGGAGTTCCGGCCATTGCGGTTCTCCGAATCTCCGCCCCCATTACCATTTCGACCTCCATTATTGCTGCTGCCGCCATTCCCGTTACCGCTGCGGTCACGATCCCGGTTGCCGTCGTTCTGCCGTCTGCCAAGATCTGGTGGCGATGAAAAGAGGACCGTGGTCAAGAACCCGCCACGCGGCTCGGCTGACGATGAGTGCCGCAGGAGATCCCTCTTAGGTGCCATAGTGTCTCCCGCTAGCATGCTATTATCCCGTCGTGGAGATATACTCGAGTGCGCAGCCGACCAGAACACCCGTGGGCAGGGGTGTCCCAGCCAGTCATCAAGTTTGATGCTACACGGCCGCCAGCCCCTGCTTGTCGTAGGTTTGCGTGTTGGCGATGATGTGGGTAGGGAAAGAAAGGAGGTCGGTGTCGAGTTCTTGACTTCCGGCGTATGTAATCGTGATGCAAAGGAAATATGTGAAGTAAAATACTCGATATCTCGGCCAGGCGGAGGATATCGTGGTTAGAGGGTAATACGTCAGATGTTCATCTAGAACTGATCGAAAAAGAAAGAAGAGAATAGGAAACAAGATGTCGGCGCATGAAAACAGAGAAAAAAAAGTAAAGAAGGAGAGCAAACAAAAGGCCTGCCTTGACGTGAAAGGTGAGTAGGGATGGGAAGAAAGGAAGGGGGAAAGAAGAGACTGGAGGGAGTGGGAAGGGCAGCGGGATCAGGGTCGATGGTAGCATGCGCTACCAGATGAAGAGAAGGATGCTCACACTAGCGCACGCTCGGCCAAGGATTGTAACATACCGTGGGAGCGGATCGTCGTCTTTGGCTCACTCGATGCCCTCAAACTGTCGACAACGACCCTCCTCTCACCCACCCTTCGAGGTACCCGCACTTGCTCGGCTCTCTCGGCGCCTCTTCCCGCTGCCACCATGGTCCTGACGTCCCTGCACTGGTAGGGGAGCTGGAACCGGGAGTGGCACCCTCCACTTACGCTCCTGCTCGCTCACTCCGACCTCAGCAGACCGATCTCGCGAGGTGCTGTCGTGGTTTACACAGTAGCCGACCAATCGCACGCTATTGGCCAAGGCGCGCCTCGGTAGCAGGAAGCGTGTTGCGGGGGACGTACCAGGCTCGACACGGGCGGCCAGGGGTACCCAATGAGCAGGCAAGCCCAGACGGGCGACCTGTCCCGCCGATTTTCCCGCGCTCCAGGACCGGGGTCCAGCATGACCATGACGGAGATCATCCTACCTGAGCTTCTTCACCGGCACCGGCAAAGAGTTCTGGACGGAATTGCACCAGGCTCGCGTGAGCGAACACACCCCGCGTATTTCCCCGGCCAGGGGAGAAGACGCATCGTTTGAGGGGAGGAATGTGGGGCCAGCCAGGGTTCTCCCGCTTGAGAGCTGGTCCTGTCTCAGCGAGGGGCGGGTGTGAGTTTCAGGGGCCTGTTTGACAGGGGGGCTGTCAGGCCGCTGGGAAGTTGAGCCGCACCTTTTGTGCCTCCCCTTGTTCAGTATCTGCCTCATCAGAACCATACAAACCGAATATTGGCTCTGATATACTGCTTCGATGGATAAACCAAGGTTGGTTGCATTGGATGTGGTTTGGCGGTTTCTCCAAAGGTCTGGTCAAGTACTTTTGCTTTGGCAGCTGGAGGTCAATCAGCAAACCAACGACGGGGGGCACTCCAAATACAATTTATGGGGTAATGGCAACAGATCCCCCAGCTTGGGATTTTCGGGGCGGGTCGCGACTGCCTACCTGGAAGAGGGAAGTAATATAAAAGATCATGCCTCTTGAGGGCAGGAGCACTCAAATCCCACCAGTCGCGCAGTCTGGAGAATTGGTGGCCCTGAGAGCCGCACCTGCCGCATGCATTCGAAACCCTGCACGGGGTCTACGTTCCGGGTGAGGCCAAGATTTGCTTTTGGTGTTGGATCGGCTCTGCAACGCAACCTCCTGCCAGGAGCTGCGCGCCGCTCTTGGTGCCAAACTTGAGACAAGGGACGAACCACAGCGAGGCGGGACAAGGGTCGAGAACATGCAGAAGGTTGATGTGATGGCAACTACATCTCCTTGGTGTCGTGGAACATGCCTGCCGACGATAGGGTCAATCCGCTGGCTTCATGTCTGCACATTTTCCCGGCTTTGATTTGCGAATCCCCTCAGTCTCCCTGGGCAAGGGGCCATGTTCTCGTTATTAGCCCGTAGGAGAGTCCGTCAGCTTTAAAATCCCGGTATCACCAATTCTGCCGGCTCCATGCCAAGAGAATGATGCCGGTGCTTCCGGGTTTTCGTCTGAAAGCAATAACGGGTCCGCCTAAGCGATGGCGGCCCGCCCGTTGGATCCAATATCTCAAAATCTTCCAATTAGGGAACATCCTCCAATGCCATCTGCATGCTCTGCGCCGTCGTCGTCCGATTATCTCGGCACATGACATTGGTCAAAGCCAGCCACGACTCGACCTTGACCTTTGTCCGACGGCGCTACGCTGCGCGGACTGGGGCAAACGGTGGGTCGAACGCATGCCTCCTCTTCCTTGCAGCAAACAAGGCCAACCCGGCTCTTTAAGCTGTATGCGGAAAAGATACGATCCCATGTGCCTCGCGTCCGCCGGCTGCTGCTTCCACCCCGCCTTCGATTGCTTGGCTTTAACTATGGTGGCTGCAGTCGACAATCTGGGAGATCACACAAACACAGCCTAGCATTCTTTACACCAGATGTGTAGGACATCACCAAGCAGCAGGTGTCTTGTTTGCACCATTCAGCCTCAATTGACCCAAGTTCCATCCTCGTGACAGTCGGAGCGGAGCACGGGTATCTCTCGGTGCCCCTCACCCCCCCTCACTTGGTCCAGAATGGCCCCGATCCGGATATCCGCCCTTGGGGAGCCTGACATCCCAGGCGTGGTGGCCGCTGTACAGTATGTCCGCGTAACTCACTCCTTGGTATTTGCTCTCTTGCAATACCCTGCAACGAGACCGTGGGCATGTGACATATATATGTCTGCGTGTCTCTCTGTCAGGCGACTTATCATCGGCGGTTCGACTAACGCAGCAATTGACAGAAGGGCGTTCGCTAATGATCCATATAACAACTGGGTTTTCGACAAGTCCAATGTTAGTTACACATCCTCATGTTGTTCCCCGTATACATATAATCGCAGAATATCTCGGGTGCTTGGGCACTCGTTGATCTGCGTGGCGCGCTGGCTTGGCCCACCATGCGACGTCCTGCACAGACCGACTTTTGGCTGATGTGGTGAAAACCACAACCATGGATTAAACAGTTCAACGCCCAAAGAAATGCCGTCTCTCTTGCCATCCGCTGCCGCTGGGGTATGCGGAATGGCATCTTCCAGGTGGCCAAAGAGGAGGGCAGCGACAAGGTGTTGGGAGCTTCCATGTGGCTCCCACCCAGGGCGGCCAACCAGAAACAGACCTGGGGCGAGTGGCTCGAGGACTGGCGTATGTATTTCAGCCAAGTCGCTATGAACCTGTGGTACGGCCGAGGTGGCCTGAACGTCAAGGTGAGAATTTGTCACGGCTATCTCGGCTTCTACTAGCAACACGCAGGCATAGGGCTGATCACTCTTTGAGTAGCGGTACTATATCTGGAAGGACTCACAGGCCAAGGTCCAGTCGGATGTCTGGACAGATCCGAGGGGTTACTACTTCCTCAACATCATGGTGGTCATCCCGGAGGCTCAGGGCAAGGGGATCGGCAAGAAGCTCATGACCGCCGTGACAGACAAGGCGGACCGAGAGCAGATGAAATGCTATCTCGAGTCCAGCAGAGACAAGCCCAACATGGACATTTATGGGCGCATGGGGTTTCGGTTTGCCAAGCAGTTGGATTGCGACGACAACGGCATCATCTGCAAGCTGTTCACCATGGTCCGGGACCCTCTGCCGCCAGTAGGAACAGGGGCGGAGGATGAGCAGACCCAGGCCGAGTAGCCGCAACCTGGGTTGGTTCTTGTGTTGCCGGGCAGAGAGTAGGTATGAAGCTAGAGGAGCCAGTTTGGTTTCCCCTCACAAATTCAGCAAAGAGAGCCGGCCCCGTTAGGCCGAAAGAAGCTTCCCTTGGCGCGGCCGGCACTGTTCCGTGAACCGTGCTTGACCCTGTCGACGAACGAGGGCCGAAGACTGAGGAGGCTTGGTGAAGTAACTTGGTGAAGTAACGATACCATCTTCGAAGCCCCTCCCCAAAGACCGTGCTGCCGATGCCACTACCACCGGATCAGCGGGAAAGCTAGGTTTCATGTGCGCCTCCCACGAGGCGATGCCCATTAGCCCCGAGCTGTCACACGCCAGCCCGAACACGGGCATTGAGTCAGCGGCATGGCGCGCTAGAAAATGAACGACGAGCGGCGCGAGGGAGAGCCCTGATGCCACAATGCCGAGGCAGCTGCTCTTCACAAGCCACCAAGAAGGACGGACAGAGACAAGGTCCCCGCCCCCGCAGCGCAGCAACACATCAACACAGCTTCACGAGCTCGAATTTCGCGCAAAAACGGCCAAAATCTTTGTGGGAAATCCGTGCTCCATCGAACGGGTACCGCGTGGGCCACGCACGTAGTCGCTGATAAGGACTCGGATTTGATCCCAGGCGGAGCTGAGGAAACAAAATATCACGCACTGCCGGTTCGAGCGCCATCAAAGCCATCAATCGAGTCCACATCCACTGGTTATTGAGTCTGGAGCTGCCACCCGCTGGCCCCGCCCAAGCTTATCCCTGTCAAGAACCCAGGCTAGTGGGTTAGCGATGGACCTCCCGAGGGTGAGCCGCACCTATCAGAGCCGGCTTTGGGCCGGCGTCGCTGCCCTGTCGCAAAGCAGCCCCATGGGTCAAAGATTTTTTTTTCCTTCGTGCCCTGGACATAGAAGGCCGGGCGCGTGCTCTGGGTTAATGGAATTGACGCGGGCTGCTATTACCTTGCACATGCATGAAGCTAGGGTCCTATGTCTTATCATGAGCTACAGTCAAATCCCCATTGCGCGAATACCATCCCCTCTCTGATATCCCCCCCAAATACCCTCCACATCACACACACACACACACACACACCCACATCCGAGGATTTTTGCTTTGCTGGTCAACCCTCTACCTCGAGCAGCACGATACATATATCGCCGCGGTATTGTCTTGGATACCTACCTAGGCAGGCAACCCCTCCATCGCCCTGGGTCGAGCTTCCCAAGCTCCCAGACCTGACGTCATGGCGTCCACCATGGCCCTAGCGCGGCTCGCGCCGATGCAGATGCGCGGCGCCCTGACCGCCAGGCAGATCATCACGTCCGCCGCCCGCCGCCCGCTGCAGCCAGCCGGCAGCGCCCTGCTGCTGAGGAGGCAGTACGCCACCGGAGGTGCCCCCGAGGCCCAGCTCTCGCCCGCGCCGAAGAAGCCGAGGCGGTTCCGAAAACTGCGCTGGGCCTGGCGCCTGACCTACCTGTCGCTGCTCGGCGGCCTTGGCTACACGGGATACTCCATCTACAAGGAGAGGCATCCCGACGAGCAGATCGAGCCTGACCCCTCCCGCAAGACTCTCGTGATCCTCGGTGAGCACTGGTCACCTAATATGCCCCGTCGGGCTTCACGTCTCTAACCTCCAGGCATCGCGCGAGCGCAGGCACCGGCTGGGGCTCCGTCTCCCTCATCAAGAACCTGGACGTCGAGAACTACAACGTCGTTGTCATATCGCCGCGCAACTACTTCCTCTTCACCCCGCTGCTACCGTCGTGCACCACTGGCACCATCGAGCACCGGTCCATCATGGAGCCCATAAGGACCATCCTGCGCAACAAGAAGGCCCGCGTCAAGTACTACGAGGCCGAGGCCAGCAGCGTCGACCCGGACCGCAAGGTGGTCAAGATCGTCGACAACTCCGAGGTCAAGGGCGACGTGTCGGGCACCGAGGTGCCCTACGACATGCTCGTCGTCGGCGTCGGCGCCGAGAACGCCACTTTTGGCATTCCCGGCGTGCGCGAGCACTCGTGCTTCCTCAAGGAGATCGGCGACGCCCAGTTCATCCGCAAGAAGATCATGGACTGCGTCGAGACGGCCGCGTTCAAGGACCAGACCCCGGAGGAGATCGACCGCCTGCTGAGCGTGGTGGTGGTCGGCGGCGGCCCCACGGGCGTCGAGTTCGCCGGCGAACTGGCCGACTTCTTCGAGGAGGACATCCGCAAGCTCATCCCCGAGATTAGCGACCGGTTCAGGGTCACGCTTGTCGAGGCCCTGCCCTCGGTCCTGCCCAGCTTCTCCAAGCAGCTGATCGAGTACACCGAGAGCACGCTCAAGGAGGAGAAGATCCAGATCGAGACCAAGACCATGGTCCAAAAGGTGACGGACAAGACGGTCGAGGCCACCACGACCCGGCCCGACGGCACCAAGGAGCGGCGCGTGCTCCCCTACGGCCTCCTGGTCTGGGCCACGGGCAATGCCGTCCGCCCGCTCGTCAAGGACCTGTGCGCCAGGATCCCGGCCCAGAAGGACTCGCGCCGCGGCCTGGCCACCAACGAGTACCTGGTGGTGCAGGGCGCGCGCGACATCTGGGCCATCGGCGACTGCGCCGTGGCCGGCTACGTGCCGACGGCCCAGGTGGCGTCGCAGGAGGGCGCCTTCCTGGCCCGCCTCTTCAACAACATGGCCAAGACCGAGGCGGTCGAGGCGAGGATACAGGACCTGAGCTCGTCGCTCAACCTCAAGCCGGGCGTCAACGCGGCCGAGATCAGCGCCCAGATCGCCGAGCACGAGCGCAAGCTCCGCCGCGTCAAGGACATCAAGCCCTTCCACTACTCGCACCAGGGCTCGCTCGCCTACATCGGCTCCGACAAGGCCGTCGCCGACATCAGCTGGCTCGACGGCAACTTTGCCACGGGCGGCCGTCTGACATACCTGTTTTGGCGGAGCGCCTACCTGTCCATGTGCTTCAGCGGTATGTTTTTTTTTTTGTTGTTTATGCGTCCTAACTCTATATCGCCTCTGGTTTCTCTTCGTTTGAACCCCCAGTCCCCTGACTAACTCTTGCTCCCGCAGGTCGGAACCGGATATTGGTCATCAACGACTGGCTGAAGTCCAAGCTCTTTGGTCGTGACGTGTCCCGTGAATAAGGACACCGAGCCCTTGGATCGGCCACGCTTGCCTTTGTTGCTTATTCGATTTCCTTGCCTGGAACCATGGAGTTTTGTGCGACAAGCGGCCCCCCTTGCGATTTTGTTTGTTTTTTTTCATAGACCGGGACGATGGGGCCAAGGAGAGCATAATGGAAACGGATAGACTTGTGTGTTCTTTAGGTAATTTGCGGGGGGGGATTTTTTTTTCCTGTTCGGCCTTTTTTCTTCTTCGCAATCTAGAATCTTGGCAGGCAGGCAGACAGCCGTCATTGGTTTTCTTTTCGGCCTTGGTTCTTTTCTGCTTTGGAATTCGCGATGAGATTTCTACGGGCCCAACCTGCTGAGACCTGTGCTTGTTCGTGGAGACGTCAAAAAGTGTGGGTGGTCAAAGACAGCTTGGGTTTTTAGGTTTGGGAAAACAGGAATGGATATTACCTGCTAGTGACTCGGAATGAGATCTGCACAATGTAACATGCCCAACCACAGCGCCTCCGTTTTCTCTTCCTTGTCCCATGCTCAAGTAGGAGAACATACCAGAACACATGTCGCTCAGCAATGACATCCGAGGTGGTTGCTTAGACGAAGCATGGGGCACATGTGCTTCCCGACACCTAGGTAGGTAGGTGTATGTAGCCCCCCTCTGATGTGGCAGCACACTCACACTCGCACACACACAGCCCGTTTGGGGGCTGAGGCCCAATCTGCGCATAAGACACAACAACACGTTCTGACCCGCCCGCCTCACGCACCCCTTCGCCCGCTCGCATCCGAATAGTCCGACCACACGTCAGATTTGGCCGTCCATTCTCTTTTTTTTTTTCGACAGCTCAGCTCAGCTTTCCCAGTGCGGGGCGTCCCCATTGCATCTTTTGCCTCGACCTTCTCAGGGGGACGATCGGGCGGGATTCCCACCTCGGCGTGGGGGCTGAATTCCGTGGCGATTAGGGGGAGAGAGACGGACGCGGGAATCAGAATGTAGGCAAAAGTACAAACGCTTGGGAATTCCAAGTGACAAACATGGTTCCAAGTCCGGGTGGGTAGATATGTATGTGCATGGTATCTCGAGTGTCGTATGTACAGAAAATCAAGGGAAAGCAACCATGGAAATAAAAAGAAACAGTTCCATGTCGTGCTCCTCATGTCAGAATGAACACTCCTCCAAAGACCCCCAGGACCCTTGTCTAACGTCACTCGTGCCCCAAGTCAGGGGCAATGCTATAGCAAAAATAACCCAGCCTTGTGTCACTTTCTCCTTTTTCACTTCCCTCCTTTTCAATGCGCCATAAGCGATATAAACTCCGTGTGCACATCCCAATCCTGTGCTGGCCCGCGAAGTCTCCTAAAGACCGTCAGCCAGCTCCCGTCAGCCTTCTCGGGGCTGATTATGACGTCGTGCACACGGATATGCTCTGGTATGTCGAACGGCGCCTCCATGCTGCCCGGGCGGTATGTAGGTACTTGCGGCGGGAATGCGGGCGTATTGGGTTGGCCATAGTTATGCCGGTCGATATAGTTGGGCTGCTGTTGTTGTGGCTGCTGCTGCTGTTGCTGCTGGAACTGATGGTGGTCGAATTCCAGGCTATAGTGCGAGCTGAAGCCATGGGCCAGAGTAGAGGCCACTTGCATCATGACGTTCGTATCCGAATGCGAGTCCGATCCATAGGACCCGTCAGATCCCCCAGACACAGCCGACGATGGCCGTCCCCATTCACCGCCGACGTTGATGTGACTTGCGATGGAGGACGCCCGAGACCTCTGATCGCTACCCGGGTGCATCAGCGATGACTGCGGAAGTGGCGAGGGCGCCAAGAACCCGGACATGTCCGTACTGGATGTCACTGCTGCTGCCAGGGCGGCGGTAACGACGGCGTCGTGCTGTTGTTGGTGCTGTTGCGGCCTGAAGGAGCCTGGGGCGTTAAAGTTGACCTCAGTGCCGGCCACCTCAACATCCATCATGAGGCTTGGGTCTATCGGGAGCCCGAGCCCGAGCTCGTCCAGTCCCAGCAGACTGCCATCCCCCAGGTCCAGGTGTGAGCTCTCGTGAGATTGCCGGAAGGCGTCATCGTTTGCTGTATCGACGGCTGTCCTTGCGGCGGGGTGCTGGCCACCTAGCGGCTCGATGCTCGGGGGCAGGTTGTGATAGCTTGCAAACACTGACCGCTGGTTCTGCTCGGGAGATGCGTCGTATGGCGGGCTCATCAGCATGGTAGGGTGGAATGGCGGGTTCGATGTGTCGTCGCCCACGGACTCCTCCTCGACCTTGATGATGTGCTCGGCGATGGCAGCCATCCGGCTTGCCTGCCACAGGTTCTCACGCCTGTGGGGGTTCTGCTTGAGCAGATCGAGCGCCGAGTGGCGTATCAGGGGGTGTCGGCACTTGGTCGCGACGTAGTAGAGTATGGGAATGACATAGGTCTCGAAGGTGAATATAGCGCGGGAGTCGGCGGACTCGCCAGGCTGTTGCTGGGCAGCCCTCGCCTTGCCCATGGTGGAGAAGGGCTCGGGTTTGTTCAGGATGAGGGCGGCGAGAGGAATGATGGCGGAAAATGATGAGAGATGGTCGTCGAAGCAAGCCTCGGCGCTGCTTAGTGAGGTGGCGACCCATATGTTCATAGCATGCAGGTACATTTGGAAGACGGCGGAACTAACTTCCGACATGTGCGCAGGCCGGACGACCTGGTACAGGGAGAAAGCAACGCCGAACTTTGCTAGCCTCTTTGTTAAGCTGTCCTGCTCCTCACCCAGGGAAGCAACGGTCTCGGCAGGTACATTGTTGCCGTACCTCGCCTGGCGGGCACGCTGCATGAAACGAAGCACTTCGTCCATGAAATCGTACAGCACAAAGCGGATCTCGTGAACCGACTCGAACATGGTCGGGACTTCGGGCAGCGTCTTCAAACTCTGGGGGATGGGCACGGGCCGGCCGCCGAAGAGAAACGAGGTCAGGCTCAGGCGCAGGTATATGGGTACCAGGTGGAGCTTCACCATGTCGATCTCGGCGTTCCTAGAGGTGGCTTTGCGTTCGAGTTTGCTCAGGATCTGGCGGCCCTGCTCCAGGTGGATCAGCGACTCCTTGTCCTTGCCGTGCATAAACTCGAGGCAGACAAAGAGAACGCAGGTCAGGAGTGGGGCCAGGGGGCGCGAGGTGGTGTCCTTCATGCGGTCGAGCAGGCAGGCGATGGCCTTGTTGTACTGCTGCAGGGCGAACGAGGCCTTGGTGCCCGGGCTGGCGGGGTCGAGGTGCGGCGACGAGGCGGGCGAGATGGCGGCGGGGCCGTCGCCCTGGGTCAGCGACTCGTGCATGCTGCTCACCGCGAGCACAGCGTGGCGGACTGCGGGCTCGGCCTGGCAGACCTGCAGGACCAGGACCTTCCAGAAGACGGCGTCGAGGTCGCCGGCCAGGTGCGGGGCCGTGACATGCTGGAAGAAGTGGAACGCCCGCTTCTCCTCGGGCAGCGCCCACTCGAGAAGAGTCGAGAATGACGAATAGGGGCTGCCGCCAACGGACAAGGCCCTACCGTCCCTGTTGGACTTGCGGCGCGAGCCCATGACGCTGGGATCGAGGTAGCCATCACACTGGCGGCCCGACTTCATACAGCGCACACAAAAGGGCTTGGCCTCGTCACACTTGACTTTGCGGACCCTTGGGTTGTCCGAGTTAGCACCAGAGGTCGGTATGCATAATGGGTAATGGGCTACCAGGACGAGCCATCCAGAGAGACTCGACTCACTTGCAGGTGATGCAGCCCGTGCGGACCTTTCTTGAACCCTTCCGCCCGGACATGGCGTGTTGGTGCTGTGAGGATGGCGAGTCTGGCATACTGTCTGGCTGTTGAAACATGGTTGCGGCGCTAGCGTAGACTGGATCGGTCTTTCGACCCGAGTGCGAGCAGCTTGGCTCTCTGGCTGGCCTCGGATAACGTCAACGAATTTCGGTCCCTCGATGGACTCGCTCCGAGGACGGTGATGGGAAGAGCCGGGCCAGCCGGGATTATATCCACGACAGAAGCCGCTTCCCCTGTGGACCAACTGTCGCAATGGACCAGCCATCAGCGCCCAGGGAGCCACCTAGGTAGGGTACTACTGGTACAAAGTACCTACTAGTAACGCCCTGGGATGACAGGACATGGGGGCAGGACAGGACACCCAGTCCCGGTCCCGAACCCCTGCGCCGTTCTGGTGCTGTGTGTGGGTGGGAGCAGCTTGGATGATCCCAGGCTGCGGGATGGGGGGTGGAAATTGATGGGTGGCCCACGACGGTGGGTGTGTGGGGTGTTCGGGGGTGGGCATGTTCCCTGGGGCCTGCCTGGGGTGGCTGAGGTTTTGGTGCAGCCCGCTTCTGGTACAGGCCGCTCCAAGGCTCGAATCAAGCATCCGTCCACTGGGCCGTCATCCAAGCCGGCCAAATTTGAAGGCATGCAGGTGAGAATTGTGTCCCTTGGTAGCACCCTAGAAGAACGGTAAACCCGCCAATGCCCCTCAATCACTAATCTTGTCCTCGCCCCCCACCAAGGCCCACCGAAGGACCGCTAATTCACGAACACTTGGACCACGCGGCCCGCCTGAAAGTGCCCGCTTCTGATGTTGACCAGCCCTACAGCAAACTGCGGCAATCCCCTCTGTTGACCTTGACCACCACCCGCATTCTGCTCTCTGTGATCTATTTTGCTAATATATTGCAACCTATCGTACCATCAAGCAACCCAAAATGGAAGTACTAGGCCACATCCTACCCCTTCCCCCAAAATCCGTGGTAGCCTAATGCTCTTCAATGCCTGAGCCACAGCCAGCAGGTGTCATGGAGCTTGTTCCCTTTCACCGCAGTCTTGGCAAATAGTTACAAGTGCTAGGATGACAGGGGGTGTTAGTGGTGGGTACCGCTTAGAAATGGCAAGCAGTCGACAGACGCCTCTCGGCCCCTACTTTGGCGCGTTGACCGCGAAGACAGAATCGTGAGGACCTACTGGACCCTGCACAGCGGCAAGGTCGGCTAGCTGCTCTGATTTAGCCGCCAGACCACAAGGATCAGCAAAAGCGGTGCATGCGCGCTTGAGCGATGCAGTTTTGGGGGAGTTTGGCGCCAGTGTCTACGCCGCCTCGCCGCCTCTAGTCTTGGTACCTACCTACCTAGGTAAGTACCTACGTCCTGTATCACTACAGCCAAGGGAACAGAACCGAACATGAGTGGCGGCCTCGAGATTCTCAGTAGGAGTACATGGAGTGGATCAAAGCGGCGGGTCTTCTGGGCATCCAAAGTCCAGATTTTACGCCTAGTAGGACCATCCCCGTCTTCAGAAATAACCATCAGTCCAAATTTCTGAAACCAGGATACTCCTTGTCGGAAGATGCCTTGTAAACGATGTCTGCTTTTTCTGCGCAGCAATGGCAGTCTCTTGGCGGGGTTGGAGGTGACGTTACTGCGTATCCATATCAGACGATTTTTTATGTGCTTCTGTGTGCCAAGTTCCTTGTTCACAACAAAGAACTACCAAAGCCAAGCGGTCTGTAGCGTGATACAATATCATTTGATCCCCGCTTCCATGACGGCAAGATATGCTCTAGGATGTGTGTACTTGTGACGAACCCTAGCCGTTGCACGGTTCCATGCGCTGGAATCCTTCCAGGCTCCCTCATACCGGTAGAGCGGCTCGAGAGTGGCTGCTCCAGCGCGGTACATCCATGTCCCCGCAACCTTGTTTTCGCAGGCGCGCTGTGGCCCCACCCCGCCTCGCTCACTCCCCAATCATGAACTCTGTAGCACAGTACACCATCCTCATAACGGAAAGGCGCCGGACGTGTTGTTGGGGCGCCGGCTTGGCTCATTGGCCTGCTAGACGCCGGAGAAGCCTGTGTGCCTGTTCTACTGGCGTGTTCTGACCCGCACACCCGCTGCCGGCTGTGTCCAGACGCCACCCCCGTCCCCTGCCCGTCCGTTTCCTTAAACTGGTGCCTGCTGAGGATCCACTTCTGAAGCAACTGGCGACGTGGAGGAAATAAGGCACCCTAGAAGGACGAGAACAGGAATATCCCGATAACTCCGTCAAGTCTGGGTGTCTGGTACCTCGCTGCCCTAGGCTTCCGCAGGATACGTACAATCTCATGTATGTACCCAAGTACATGAGGGTAACGGAGCGACCTGTCGTTGCTGGCCACTCGCGATTTTACTTCCTTGCTTATTACCGCCTTGTTCCCGCCTTGGCTAACCAAGTGGAGCCTTTGCAACGGCAGGGTCGAGAACCATCCGTGCCGTCATCTCCCCATGGCTTGAACCTTAACCTCCGAGAGACACCGGACCTGCCTTTGAAAGATCATGGTCAGACTTGCCTACCTCTGCCTAGGCTGGCAGACTGATCGACTGTGCGACTGGCTAGCAACCTGATGGTCAACAGCTTGGTCAACAGCTTCCTTGGAGGCTGATATCACTACACCTCCCAACAGGCACCGCAATTCCTTCCAGGCACTGGGCCTTGCGGCGGCCCCAAATAGGAGAAACGAAAACATGCACCTCGTCGCCTTGGCCGAGCTCTCCACACCGCCTCAACCTGTTCGATAAACATGGCGCAGTAAGCCGGCTCCTTCCGAGACGCCATGCACCTTCAAACATTAGCCCAGCGAACCTTGACCGAGCAAGTAAGAAGCCAGACTCTGCGTGACGCACCTTTACCACCGTGGCAGCTCCAACTTCAGCCCTGCGGCCCCGCTGCTCACCGTCCTCGTCCCTTTGGTCTACGGCACCGGCAAATCTGGGAGAATGCCGGCGAACTGGCAAATTTGCCTAGTGGGCGGAAGAATTTCCTGACGATATCTCCGCTTCTTACTACCTTGACGTAGACGATCTGGCCTATCAGGCAGTTATTCTGGGGAAGCATCCGTGCACCTGCGGCAACCCCACGGTGAGGCCAGCAGTTCGTCTACTGGATCTGGTTGCGTGACGTGATTCTATTCGCGTTTGATTGCTAATCCTCCATTTGCGGAGGGCGAGACGTTCCCCTCTGCCGCAGCCAGGATAGACGACCTGGCCAATCACGACATAATCTCGGGGGGTCTAAAACCGGACGTCTTGACGGAAGGGGTGCGCCAAGTCTTCTCGTGGTACCCCTTGTGTGCCGGCGCGGGGCCGTGTGCGGGAACATGTGGCAGCGGTGCGGCCTTCCCAGACATTGGGCGCTGGTTGCGTTCGGGCTGCAGGGGGTGTGGGATGGAATGGGAAAAGATGAAAAGCGAGGCGAGGGTGTGATCGAGGATGCCAATCTTTTGCGGGGAATTTCTCCCACTTGGAACCTCGAGCTGACATTTCCCCCACTAAAGTTAATATGTTTAGGTCGCTGGCGGGGCCTGATTGTTCGGGCCAGCATTGGTGGGACCAGCCAAGGCTCAATAGCGGCTTATGTCAGCGGAGACTGATTTTTTTTTTTTTTGCATCAGTCGGCATGCGCATACCTACCGCCGCTATGGCCCCCAGGGAGGCACGGGAAGGGCTAGAATTGGTTGTCGCGATTCGCATCTGGTCAGCCTTGCATTAAATTAAAACAGCAAAATCTCCTTTGCCGAAAAAGAAGGACAGGGCGTGTAAAAATGGCTCCCAGGACTAAAGGCCGTTCCGAGGCCTCACAGGCTAGCCAAGCAGAAGACGTGGACGCCCAGATGGAGGACGCACCCACGTCAGCCCAGCCCGACGCCGTCGATCAGGCCGGCGAGGACTTTGACGAACCAGAGGAGGAGGAAGAGGAAGAGGAGCAGCGCGTCAAGATGGTGAGGACCTAGCCCGGTGCCGCCCCCAAATCTCGAGCAGATGGGCTCTTTGGTTCTGACATGTGCAGCTCCCCGGCTCAACACCCACCGCGGCCTCGTTCGAGTTCCAGAAGGAGGGCCACACCCTGGGAAACGCGCTCAGGTACATAATCATGAAGAAGTAAGACCGGCCTTGGGCTCCCCGCCCTTCCGAGTCCGAACCCCCTGATATTGACGCCGCATCTAGTCCCGAGGTCGAGCTTTGTGCTTATGCCATCCCCCACCCCTCGGAACATAAGATGAACCTGAGGATCCAGACCTATGGTGAGTGAAAGTTCTCTGTCGGCTACCTCACGTGACTTCCAACGCGCTAAAACCCGCATCCAGATGGCACCACGGCGATTGAAGCGCTAGAGAAGGGGCTGAGAGACCTCCAGGACCTGTGCGATGTCGTTACCGATAAGTTTACAGTGGCTAAGGAGGAGTTTGCAGGCCAGATGCAAACAGATTCGTAATGAGCCTAGCCTAGAACTCGGCAACTTGTCTATCCCCGGATCCGAGTGTCAAAGAAAGGTCTTGGAGGCACGAGGGCAATGGAAAAAAGGACCATGGGAAAATTGGCGTTCTAAGGCGCAACTTTGGCGGAACTTTTTTGGTAAACTCGGTGGGATACCGGTATTTATGTACATACATAACGAGACCCTTTGTTTGGCGATGTGCCCCTTCTAGTTGCGACCCTGAACATGGCGTTAGCAACAAAACACGAGGGAAAGAATATCGAGGCCAGCCGCCGCAGCAAAGACTCACCTCGAGGAACCCCTCCATGAAGCTCTTTGGTAGCCTCTTGTCTCCCCTGAAGTTCTCGTCCTTGAAGTACGACATGATGTGGGTCGTCTGCTTCCAAAAGTTCATCGTCTCCTACAGATTGGTGGCGTTAGCGTCAAGAGCCCCCTTATTCCTCTGGACAGCGATGCGCTCCTCTCCTCAGGGGGGCTGGCGCAAAGCCTCGGGCTGCGTCTGGGTTCCTACCTGGTACTCCGCGTTGCTCTGAAACAGAAGGACATCCACCACGGGCAGCTTGTTGACGAATCTGTGCCGCTCAAACTCCTGTCGCATGCGTGTCCTGATGGCCGAGACGGGGTGTGTCACTGAGTACATGGTCTGGATCTCGGGGGCCTGGAGAGCGAGGGTATTAGCGGGGTGGGATTGCGCCTGTCGGAGGCAGAGTAGGCAGTCGAGGCGTGCAGGGCATTTCGGGTCGGCGGCCGGCAGGAGGCGGCATGGGCACGGCGGCGGGAGAGAGGGAGGAGGAATCAACGTACGGCTCGGAGCCACTCCCGGTATGACGCCAGGACCCTCCTCTTCGCCTCGGGCCAGTTGGCCGCTGGTCGGGCGCGTTAGCAGGTACTCAAAGATCGAAGGGGGCGGAGAACTCGTACATTGCGTCGTCTTGCGCGCAAACTGGGTCGGTGTAATGGCCATGGCGCCGGCTGAATTGGTGGTTCGAACTGCTCTCGGGAGCTGGGTATCTCAAGGGGCTTCACACCCGCGGTTGAAGCCAATCCGAGCTCCCATGAAGTTGAGGCCGCCATCACGTGAGGTCTTGGCAGACCCACTACCCGACTTCCCACGCGCGGCTGAGACCAACCGGCTTCTGACTCGCTCCGCAGCCTTCCCTACGTAGCCCGCCCTCCCACTTGCGGAAGTCCCGACCATCCATCATCCGCGCGTCTGGTTTCTGAAAATCGCACTCTGGACAACCTTGCCCGGCGCCCGCCACCGCTCTCCAACATATCTATCACGTCTTGGGTATCTATCTATCTTGTTATAGTCACTACCTTCTCGCAATACAACCAGCCTCGACAAGAGCTCGCCCACTCCATCGCTCCCCAACCGAACTCGCCCTCGGCTTGCGCCGACCTCGTCGCCCGGAAAATCCGTTGACCTAGCACCACCGAACCCCAGAATCATGCCCGCGATCAGGCACGCGTCCAAGCGTAAGCCCCCACCGGAGGGCTTCAGCGACATCGAGGATGACCTCCTCATCTTCAGCAACAAGATGAAGGATGCGCAGAACACGCCAACCGACAACGTTCCAAAGCACCAGGCGCAATGGCCCATCTTCCAAATATCTCACCAGAGGAGTCGCTACGTCTACGAGCTCTACTACGAGAAGGAGGCCATCTCCAAGAAGCTGTACGAGTGGCTTCTCAAGAACAACTACGCCGACCCTATGTTGATAGCCAAGTGGAAGAAGCAAGGTTACGAGAAGGTATGCTTCCCTGTTCCATTCACTCGATTGTCGGGATGGTGAAACGATGGCTGACATATCATGCTTTCTTCGTCATACAGCTTTGCTGCCTAAGATGCGTGCAGACGAAGGAGACCAACTTCAGCTCCACCTGCATCTGTCGTGTCCCGAAAGCGCAGATGAAGGAAGATAGGGATATCCAGTGCGTAAGCTGCGGCTGCCATGGGTGTGCTTCCAGCGACTGAGGAACGTTCCTTTCTCGTCGGGGGTTCCGCATGAATGACGCACAAGAAAAACCAACTGGGATCAGTTGGCTTGCCGTCGCCATCCACGCAGTGGCTACTGCATCATCGACTCGCGAATTGAAGTAGATAAAGAATGATGCTCCTGAGGCATCTGGATTCTCCATATTGGCGTACGTGTCGTGGACCTTCATGTTTTATCCAAACTCACTAGCTAATACCAGAGCCCTCAGAAGACTTTTTTCACCGTTTGCCACAGGTCGGTCTAGCCTGCAACACAGGCTGAACGACATGTATTGTGTGTGAGACCTGCAAGCTCAGTATGTTCGAGTGAATCCTCCTCTGCGACCCCCTCTCCCAAACGAGATGGATCGTGGCACAAGCTTCAGCGACGACATGCCGCTGGACAAGGAGTCCATCTCCATCTCCACATCCTTGCTGGGAGCTGAGTGTGCCACATGCGGCTCTGGGTCTTTTGCCCTGGTGTCGTCCTTGTTTACGCCGCTTTTGCGGGGCCTCTCCTTGCTGGCACCATCTGTGGTCTGCCCATCTCCTGCTTCTCTGGCTGCTGCGCTAGCCTTCGCTGCAGCATGTCTGGCCTCCTTGGACTGCGTTCTTCGATGCCCGCCCACGTCGCATAAAAGCGACTGTCTCCCGTCGATGCCGTACCTCGTCACATCGAAGAAGAAGTTTGGTGGATAAATGTGCTTATCGATCAAATGACGACGGCGCTTTGACGGATCTCTGCATTTGCGATCACAGTCTTCGACGAAGCACGAGTACTTTTTTGGTCTGTCAGCATGTGGTGCCCAAGCGTTGCGGCGCCCACTTTCGCTTTGTAGCGTAAGGCGCGTGCTCATAGAGGGAAAAGGGGCTCGGTGGGAGTGGTGGAGTGTTTTCACGGAAACGTACTGTGCGCTCGCCCTTATCTCTAAGTGCCGCCACGAAGGAGTCGTGGCACTCTTCGATATGGAGGCTCAGAATGTGATCCGAAGGGAAGTTCTTGTTGCATTCGTGGCAGCGATTCACGTGTTGCTTGTTGTAGTGGGCGTCGTATTCGTCAAAGGTGGTGAATGTGAGGATCTGTGGATGCAGAGTGCACCTCAGGGTGTTCGCCGCTGTCGATGCGCCGGTGCTAATCTCATTCCCGTCCAGACCCCTCATCTTGGGCACCGGTTCCGGACCCATCTCGTAGGCGGGCGGGGAGGCTATGCCCTCTGGCGACGAGGCCGGAGACTCTTCTTCGGGCTCACGTGAGCGTTTCATTCTCCCCTGGCTGGGGTGGAGGGAGCACTGACGAAGTTCAAGAGTTTGAAAGGGGTAAATTACCGACGAGCGGCTCTTGCTGGTTGTCTGGCCGGTCTACTTCTGGACGCCGACACCGATAGTGGCTGGCAAGTAGCAGCACATGCAGAGGACAACGGCCCTGGTCCCGGTCCTGTATGCCTTCGCTTTGATGCTTCTGTTCTCTCGGCTGGCGCTCTTGGCCGGCGGCCGGTTCTGTGCTCCGACTCCGTGCGCACCGACGGAAACGACCCAAGGTGGGCCCGGGCGGGGGACGGTTGTGGGCGTGGGTGCGGCGGCGGCGCTGGTCAGGGAGCTGGCCTGTCGAGAAGATGCTCACTGCTTCGCCCGTCTTTCACACTCTCTGACGACCTTCCCGGCGGTTCCAGACACGAGCGAGGTGCAACAAAGCTGCGCTTTGTCGGTCAGAGCCAGAGAGGGCAGCGGCACGGCGGGTGGGGGAGCTCCATCTCTCGCCCAATCCGTCTGCCCGTGCCGTCCAGCCAGCCCGTCGCTGTGGGTCAGGCGTGCTCATGGACTGCAGCCGTGGTTCAAATGGCTGTCAATGTGGGGGAACCCTGGAAAGCCAGAGCACAGTCACGCAGCACGGGCCACCAGCCCAGCAAATCTCACACGGTTATTGGCTTACGCCTCGTGATTTTGATTTGCGCCCATCTCGCGCCGCCCTCACTCGTCCAGCTCATTGACTGCCCTGCGTCGACCTCCATCTCTGGCCGGTTCCGTCACCAGCCTTGTAAATAGCTTCAATCCTCGGGCACTCTGCACCAGCACCAAACGGTTTGCTGCTGGCACTTCACTGTCTGCTGCCGCAGCCCCGAATCTTCTTCCCTGGCTCCGACTATATCAGCCTCCGAGCTCGCCTGCCGCAAGTCTCGTTCTGCTGCCAAATGTTCACGCCAGGAACGGTCCTGGCTCACCATCAGAAGAAGAGTTCAGGCTGCGCAGCGACCGCCGCCGCTCCCGCAACCGCACCGCCGCCCACCCAAATCCTGGCCAACCTTGCAGGACACGGCTGCCACTCAAGTTATGGACTGGGTGCAGCTTCTCGTTCCGCGGTTGGTTTTTCTCAGGCGTAGCGCTTGACTTGCTTTACAAAAGCTCAAGGTCGCCGTCCCCACCAAGCCGCCGCCTCTGATATAGCGGGCACCCCCCTCCATCGCCACCTCGCGACTGCCTGTGTCTTGCATCGCCCCCGTCGCACAACGGCCGCCGACCGCGACCGCAAGCAATCAGTCGAGCAATCGAGGCTGCGATTGCGACAAGGCACTTTCGGGCATCATGGCGACAGCGGCTGCCCCGTCGGTAGCCGAAATCTGGAAGTATGCGCAGCACAAAATCACCTCACCCTCACCACCACCCTCTCACCCTCCTCTCAGGTCAACCTCGCATTGCACTCAGACAGGTTTCATTTTCTCCACCCACAACCAGACTTGGAACCATCTACACTAAATCCTCAGAAATGAGTAGCCTCAATACTGACAACTTCTAGGGAGGCTCTGAGATATCGGCGCATTTTGGACAAAAAGGCCGAGGCGCTCCACAAGACCGTCGGCAACGGAAACGAAAATGCCTACTTCGGCACGCTGGACGAGGCGCTCAGCGCGTAAGTATTTACTGCTTTCTTGCCTGTCCTCTTTCTTTCCTCTGTCGCCGTCTCTCTTGTCGCATCAGGCGTTAATGTGCCCCAGTTTCCGCCTCGGGAGTGTGGCCACCGTCTTCAACGACTTCAACTTTGCCACCGAGAAAAAGGTGGACAAGCAGCTCTGGCAGGCCCATGCCCTGATCAACAACAAGTACCGCAGCGTGCTCGCTGTCCTGGGCTCCAAGACGGATCCCAAGGTGGTGCTCCACCGCCAGGTAGAGAGGAAGTATGGCAAGTTTTTGCGCACGTCGCAGTCCTTTTACAAGGGCTACCTGCAACGCCTCTCGAAGCGCTATCCGATCCCCGAGCTGGAGCGGGTAGCGCACTCGATCAAGACGGAGGATGCCGCGCAGGTCGAGGTTGCTCCTGATCGCGATGCCGATATCAACGCCAAGGTGCTTGTGTCCTGTCACGCGACGCTGCTCCACCTTGGCGACCTGTCTCGATACCGCGGACAAGTCGAGCGCAAGACGCATACCTTTGACAAACCCCTGGCCTACTACAGCCTGGCCAACGACCTCATTCCCAACTCGGGATATGGTCACCATCAGATGGCCGTCGTCTTCCTTGGCGAGAAAGACAAAGACCTCGCCGCTGTCTATCATCTTTACAGGGCGTTGGCCGTCCAGGAACCTCACCCAAACGCGCTGCAGAATCTGGAGGTGGAGTTTAAGAAGCTCCGGCCTTCCAGCCCTCCGCGCGGGCGCAATGCATCTCTGGATCCTCAGGTCACTCTTGCCACGTGGTTTGTCAAACTGCAGGCCATATTCTACACCGGGGAGACGCTGCCTCAACAGGCCGAGCTCGAAGGAGAGGTCGCGCACCGGATGCAGATGCTTCTTGTTACCAAGGACAGTAACGAAGTGCTCATGATGATGACGCTCACCAACATCACGGCATATTATATTGCCCGTCAGCGCGCCGAGAGTAAGCACCCCAACATTCAATCACGAGCCCTTTCTGATAAACTTGTGCTAACATGTGCGTCACAAAGAGAAATGGTCTGTTGAGCTGTCCCAGTCGTGCCAGTTCATGCTCAGCTTCAACATCCGCATGATCCTGGCCGTGAGCCGAGTTGTCATGAAGGAGATCAAGGGCGCGCTCGAGGCCATGCCGGGTGAGGAACCGGAGTCTGCGTCCGCATCTACTAAAGAGACAGACCGCTTCCTTGCCGTCATGACTACGGGAGTGCCTATTCTCCGTATATTCATGATCTGGATTTGTCTGCATCGCGCCGACCTCGTCAAATATGCAGACCATCTCCCACATCTTGTCGAGGCACACGCGTCACTCGCCGAGACCATCTCGCTTCTTATCGAAGCCTTCCGCGACGAGGACCTCGGTATATCGACCGCCGAATACCTCCTCCGGGAGGACATTGAGACCATTGGCTTCGAGCCACTCAGGAACGAAGCTGCCCCGTTCGTCTGCCGAGCGATGCATTATACCCTGGATGGCAAACAGAAGCAACGGCTGGAGAGCGACATCTCCAAGAAGCTGCAGGACAACGTCGAAACCCTGTCGAGGATCAACGACATCATAAACTGCGGATACTTTCTAGCCACAGACCCCAACTACCCTCTGCAGCTCACACAGACGCAGAAAGGTTCAAAGGTCCTGACCACGTTGACCGTCGCGGTTGGGGGCGGCAATGACAGTCACGTCCAGGGTTCGAAGAGAGGCACCATTGCGACCTTTGCGACACAACCCGTCACCCCACAGAAGCCCTCAGCACCGACGACTCCTGCTCTCCATCAGGCCGTGAGAGACAGCCCTAAGCAAGAGGTTGAAATGGCCAACACGAACGTGCCAATGCAGGAGTCTTGCCTAGCTGTGGAAGCAGAGGAGTCGACAGCTGTAGATTTTGGCGTCGATGGAGAGACTCTTGATCGTGTCAATGAGTTCCTCATGCCGCCCGAGGTGGGCTCGCCCAAAAGCCCAGTGATGGACGAGACTTCATATGGAATGCACTCGACAACAGCGAACGAGATCTTCGGCGCCCTCGAGCCGCCGGCTACAACACCGACGTCAGCCAGCAAGAAAGCCTTCCCCGGCCTGCCGTGGGATCTCATCTACACGCCAACACCCCTTCGGACTAGTGGCAACGCTGCGGCGGGGTCGCCCATCCTGGCCCCTCCCATCGTTGATTTCGGCCAGCAGTATCCCTCGGCGATTGCTGTGAGCCCGTCGGAGCAGGTTCCCATGGCAGCAGGTCTGGGCGCCCCCGTCAGACAGGCGCAACAGGCCCTCAGGAACCAGGTGCCAAGTCGGCAGCAGTCCATCACGGAACCGGGAAGGCATGAGATGTATGACCACGAGCGGATGGAGGAGGTAGCTAAGGCCGCAACCTGGAAGGTTGACCAGCGGCACCACCAGACCCTCGTCCCGACGCCGAGGATCCCAGCCTCCAACTCTCTCCAGTCCCTTTCATCGCTCTCTAGCCACAGTCCCGCCGGCGCGACGCGGCAACATCGCTCGTCCAGCTACACGGCCACTCCATTCTTTCAGTCATCGAACTTTTCCCCCGGCCCGTCTGGTCTCCCGCCAATCAACAGCCCGTGGGGTCTTCCACCGGCTGCTCGGGTCGCCCATGTCAGCCAGAATAATCGGACGCCCACTGCGCCCAAGTGGACAGAGAGCAGCATTTGGGGATCAGAGCCTGTCGGATCGAACGGACAGGCACAGTCACAGGCATTTTACGGCTCAATGAAGCCGTCGGAGGATCCGTCCAGCACATTTGAGCAGGATCCGACTTTGCTGCAGGCCATGGCCAACCAAACCACAGCACAAGCGGCTGGCAAGCTTTAGGGGGGTCGCCAGCGACCCGTGCTGGGGCTTCATTTTCTCAACGCCGACACAATATGGTCGGCAAAGTGGTAACCGCCTGCGAGCCATTCGATGAGCACCCATGTGGTGGCAAGTCTCGTCTTCGGCGCAGCCACCTCGTCACCGATAACCAGTGCTTCTGGTCCAGCGGTGTTTCTTGCAGCGCCCGCATAGGCCGCACCAGCGCCACGGCCTTTCAACGCCTGCCACTCGCGATGCTTAATTTTTCAGCTCAAGTTGCTGAAACTCATGGGGCCCTCGGTTGCCCGCGGCCATCTTCTGAGCCCGCTCTGTGGACCCAGGCTTGTCACAGACTGTCTGCCGAGCATGAGGGACAGAAGATCTAAGATCGCTGCCACGATGCTTCGACACCCATCTGCATTCCACTTTTTTCACACTCTGGAAACACAAATGGTGTTCAGGCGCGAAACTGCGCGTCATCGATGCTTTCTCGCTATTCTCTAAGTTGAATTTGGTTTGGCCTGACGGACGCCACCAGCTCTCAAAGTATCTGGTACTATTTTTGTTGTTGAAACCTGGAATGCCCTTTATTTTCCCCCATTTCCTTACCCGCAACGCCTGACTTGACCTGACGAATGGTGAAAGATCCGTTTCTGGGAATCTAGTTTGACGATGTGGGCTGGTAGGTCTGCTTGGGGAAGGGGTATCTGTTGTCAATGTTAGCCTTATTTCCTTTACCGCCGTTCGTCCCTCCCTTCTTGCGCAGCGTATGAAAAGTCCGTTGGGAACTGGCGGCCCGAAACCCCCAATGGTGGATGGTATGGGGGGTACTAGTTTATAAGATGATGCCAAGGTCTCCCTGGCAGTGGAACTTGGCGGAGACAAAAGGCAGGCCGGCAGGTTGACAAGCGGATAACGCAAATACAGAGAGAGACACGAATAGGACCTTTTCCGAATAGAGACGAATAGGAACTTTCCGAAAAGAGATATGAATCGGATCTTTCCGAGGAAAAACATGAATAGGATCTTTGCCGAAAAAAAGAAAAAAGAAACAAGGTCAACGTACGAAGGTCCCAGCTCCTGGATGCTCAGACGGGCAAGCCACTGGCCCATGTCGATGGCGGCCTCGAGGGGCTTGCCGTCAACGATGCCGGCGCAGAAGCCGCCGGCGAAGGCGTCGCCGGCGCCGTTGGTGTCGTTGATCTGCTCCTTGGCGATGGCGTGGACGGGGAACTCCTTGACCTCGTCCTCGCCCTGGACGGCGACGAGAGTGGGCTCGGTGCCCTGGGTGACGATGGCGACGCGCTTGCGCTTGGCGTTCTCCTTTGGCAGGTTGGCCATGGCCTTGGCGATGGCCCTCAGGTCCGTCTTGTCGGCGAAGCCGTGCGACTCGGCAAAGGCGGCGGCCTCGGTCTCGTTGCCGATGACGTAGTCGGTGTAGGGCATGGTGGCGTCGAGCGGGTCCTTGAAGAACTGGGCGATGAAGGGGGCCGAGAGCGAGAGGATGAAGGGCCGATCGTTCTTGGCGGCCTGGCGGCACAGCTCCATGATGGCGTCGGGGCAGACGGTGAAGTGGTAGCCGCCGACGTAGTACACCTCCGCGTCCTCGACGAGGGCCCAGACCTCGGGCCGCCTGAGGTGCTCGACGTCGTAGTGGTTCGCGGCGCCCAGGTCGGTGCACATGGAGCGGTTGTGACCCGTGATGACGACGCCGCATCGGCCGGTGCTGACCTTGGGGTCAACGCGGTACTCGACGCGCAGGCCGGCCTGGCGCACGGCGTCGCGCAGGATGGCGGCGTACTTGTCGTCGCCAACGCCACCCGCGTAGGCGACGCTGTTGGGCGGCAGCATGTACTGGGCGCCGCGTGCCGTGTTCTGGGCCGCCCCGCCCGCGATCAGCTTGGCGTCGTAGTTGTTGAGCAGGTCCTCGTAGATGCCCAGGTGCTTCTCCTCGGCCAGGATGGCGTCGTTGGCCTTGAGTCCGTACTTGTTGAGGAGGGCCTCGTCGCCCGAGGCCTGGATGTCTGTTTTAGGGGGGGAGCGTTGTCAGTTTGCTGGGCTACGTCGGTACACACGTAGGCTTCTTCCAAAGCCAACCATTGGACACGTCGTCGAGGAGAGACGTACCCAGAAGAGGGTTCTCCAGGCAAAAGAGCCTGTAATCCTTGGTAGACGACATTGTGCTTAGTGTACGGTGGTTTCTAGTGGTGGTAGTTGTGGCGGCGGCTGTTGCGAGACGACCGAGTTTGGACCTTGAATCGGCGGCGACGGCGGGGTACTTGAGGTCGGTCGAGGTGGGATATTTCCTGCGGGCCGCGTCCAGGTCCAAGCTCCTGGTGGGGCTCTGGCGGGCCGCTGCTGATGCTCGGAGTGTGTGGAATGCCGCTGCCACCGCTGCTCCTCCTCCTCGGGGTGCCCCTGACAGGCGGACGGCTCTCAGCGACGCAGACCCTAGTCGGGCAAGGTTCTGGGGCTTGACCATTGTTTGGGGATTGCCGAGTATTTGCCTCTCTTTGTCGTCTTGCTTTGCTCCCTGTCCTGGGAGGGGTATGAAGCTGTCCAGTACACAGTAGACGACAGATGGTCCCAGGCAATGTGGTGCCAGGCCCGTGGTCTTTATGGATGCTCTCGAATCTCTCTCGGCTAGGGACGCAGGCTAGCCAGGGTCGTCCCCTCCACTCCGCCGGCTTGTCTTTGAGCAATCGTACGACGTCACGGACCAGCCCCGAGAATCACCTTACCATGCATCCACACCTTTTCAATAGACGCTGGAGGGGAGAGCAGAGCTTCCGAGGCTGGGTCACACCTCTGGCACCCCACCTGGTTCATGAATATCGTGTGATGTTTGTTCACGTTCCAAGTCAACCGACGACATGCGCACTTGCTTCTCCGCATGTGGGATCTTAATGCCCAAGAAAAAAAAGAACTGCCCATTTGATTTGCTTCGTAAAACCGAGATGGCCCCCTTTTGCTGCGAACTGGAAATCCCTTTTATAAACCATGGATACCACGCAAGCACCGGCCAGAGCATCGCAAATTGCTGCCCGTTCCCGCAAAAAGTACCCTTAACTACAAAGCAATGATCCATGCAATCCGATGAACCCCGTCCCACGAGCCGAACCAGGAAACTCTTACTCCTTCGTCTTCTGGGTACCACGCAGCAGACCCGTCCTCCTCGCAGCAATAAGACCCGCCTTTTGTCCCTGGGCCGCGTATCTCGAGATGGTCGAGGCCTTACCGATATGCTGGTGGTTACCACCACCGTGAGGATGGTCGACGGGGTTCATGGCAACACCACGAGTCTTGGGCCACGAGTTGCGCTTGACGGCGAACTTGTGCTTGGCACGCGAGGCCTCTGTTTGGGCAAGCGGTTAGCATCACGTTTGTTTGGAGTCGCCACCAGTGTCCTCCACCAGTGTCATCGGGAGCTGGCGAGAAGTGTCCAATACGACTCGTCTCCTGCCGAACTCAGACTTCTCCCAGCTCTCCTTTCTCCGCGAGGGGTAAAGGTCACGTACTAAGCAGGGGCTTGTCGGTACGTCCGCCACCAGCGACGATGCCGATCATGCCACGAGCCTGGCTGCTGACAACCTTCTTAGCGCCCGAAGGCAGCTTAATACGGGTCTTGCCCTCATCGGGGTTGTGGCCGATAACGGTGATGTAGTTGCCCGAAGTGCGGCCTAGCGCGCCGCGGTCGCCGGCCTTCTCCTCGACGTTGGAGACGATGGTACCCTCGGGGATGGAGCCCAGGGGCAGAACGTTGCCGACCGTCAGGGCGGCGTTCTTTCCGGCGTAGACAAACTGGCCAGTGTACATTCCCTCGTTGGCGATGAAGGTCTCGGTGTGCTGCTTGAAACGGTAGGCGTCACGGAAGGTGACGCGAGCCAGCGGTGCGCCGCGGCCCGGGTCGTGGATGATATCCTTCACAACACCCCGGACATATCCGTGGCGCTCGGCGTAGTCGAGGGATCGGAACTTGGCGGGGGCCTTGTTCAGGCGGGTGCGGGCCTCTGTAAATCACCGGTGAGTACGACAAGATCGAGTCGGAGGCACACTGCCTATCGTGCTATCGAGTTCGTGGTCGGGTTCGAGGGGAAGATTCCGTCAGAACATACTGAAGATGCCGCCGGCACCCTTCCTCTGGTTTCGAATCTGGATGGGACAGCGCAATTAGTACCGTTGTCGCCGCCAGCGCCATCGCACCTCGTCCTCCTGTTCCCTTGCTCAATTCCAGCACCTCGGATCCCTCCACGTCCAGGATTGTTCGTCACTTACCACGCGACCCATCGTATCTTCCCTTTTGAAGGCGAGCTCCTACTTGGAAAGTCCGGGTATCTTTGGTCTGCAATCCGGATCGGCAGAAAATCAGCAGCTGTAAAAGAGCAAGACAAAGTCGACCGGCGAGGGCGCAAAGAATGGTAGATGAAATCAAAGGCGGGATTGCTGATGGGAGGGACTCACCGTCCTGGTTTCTTGCGGGAGAAGTTACAAAGTCGAAATGGGAATTTTTCTGCCCACTTTGGTTTGTGTGGATGGCGCTGACTGGGGGGAGGACCGCGGCCGCACCTGCCCTAGCGTGGGGTCGCTTGCCCTGCGCAAAATGGGCCAGAGCTGCACGTGACGGCCACACACGTGCCACGATCCTCGACTCCCAACACCAGTTCTGCCGCATAAACGGGGCCGGCCTTCTGTGGCTAATAATGCAAGACAGATAGATGCACACGGCCACTGCCCATTTCAGCCCCCATCCACCAGGCTGGGCCGAGACCGCCCACTTCTTTGTTACCCTCGATCTTCGCTCTCTCGCTGCGCTTGGCTCGAGTCGCGCCCGTTTACCTCAGGTTTACCTCAGAGTCCTTCTTGGACTGCACGCTTGAATGCCTGCCTGCCCAGGCAAATATCTACCTGGCACATACAGGTTCTAAATGCCACCCACGCGCCATCTTGCCAGATTCCAGTGCCTCACGCTTCATTCGAGCGTGTGCCTGTCCGCGGCTGTCGTGTCAGCCTTTGGGGGAATCTGAGGCCTCGACTCGACCCCGCCTGACCTGGCAACGCCTCATCTGGTTTCCAACCTCTCGGAAAACGAGTCTCAATGCCGCCCAACATCGGGACGTGTCAACAATGAGGCGCCGCCTGAATTATTCCTCCCTGTTGCGAGCATACCATCAAGCATTTACTCCTCTCCTCACCTCTGGAATGCATTTTACCTGTGCATCTGCTAGCAGCAATCGTTAACGCGTTTCTACAGTCTCTCAACGTCTCCTGCCCTGTGCGCTGTTTTTGCGACACTGTTGGGAATGGCATCATGAGCCGCACGTTTGTGTGGGATTGTATGCTGAGAAGCGTGATTAAGCTGGCCCGACCGCTCTGGGGCTTCATTTCCCAGTTCTGGGCACCGGTCCGGCACTGCATTTTTGGCTCGGCATCTGATCCAGCGATCAGAGTCTTTTCCGTCAGAATGCGGTTGCAATGACTGCCGAACATCCATTTTGGCGCGGATTTGTGCGGCTGCCGTGTTTTTGCGTGTCAGAGCACGCAAAGGTGCCCGGTTGTCACTCGAGCTTGCCAGCGCAGCCTCGACAAGACGCAGATGCAGCGGACAAAGATGACAACATACTTTCGCACGCTTGGCGACCGCATGAGCTTTCACCCCTCAAGAACTGTCCCTATCCAAACGAGCCGGGTTCAATACTACCATCTGTCGTTTGCTTTCCTCCTCTTTGCTTTAGTACCTCTCGAGCTGTGTGGTTTCAGTATGCAATTTTGTTTGTACGAACCCTGTTTCATTCAGGAGTCCCATTTCTACTAGAAGTCTGAGGAAATCGGGGTTTTGTGAAGGTGTGTGGATGTGCATCCTTGTTTGAGCATGATCGGCATGCGATTCGGGGTGGCGATGGCATCGTTGCGAGGTTGGCCCTGATGATGGGCTGGACCCTGCTCGCTGGCCGGAGTTGGGTTGGTGGAGATATCTCGAGTAAGCGAAGGATGAATGCCCAACTTTTCCACAAGAGCCAAGTGGTTCATTGCTACGGCATGCGAACACTCCCTTGGCCACGCACCAGTCAAACTCGAAACACGAATGCGTTGTTCGGTCCGCCATCGATTTCGGAGAGCTGTGTGCCTGCTTGGTGCTGGGGGTGAGAATGGCCTCTGCCGCGATAGCACTGCATGTCTGGTCACTCTATCTTTGAGGCTTTCTTTGTTGATGGTGGCAGTTTCGGAGACGTGCAAGAAAGCGGGGGTTGGGGATGGGTTGGAGCAAGATGAAGAGACGGCGGAGATGGCTTCGGAGCGGCGATGGTGGCGAGGACTGCATCGATTTCGGAGGGAATACATGTAGGCATGGGGCAAGCGGGTTGGGCATGGCCGGTGGTGCTGCACTTCGCTGGCACTGTCCCAAGGGCGCCCCAAGGAGGAAAGGGACTGGGGCGGTGGCCTGCCGCCGACCTAGGCTGTGGCGGCGCTGCTCCCAAGCGTACGACCAAGTATATATCAACATAGGTTATCATTCCAGCCTATCACACAGACTCGGCCCCCTCCCGAGGAGGCATGAGCGGGCGTGCGGCTCCCAGAGCAAAGTGGGTTTTAGTGCGTGGTCAAATTTGGGCGCGGAGCTCCTCGAACTCTCGCCGGCTCTGCTTGTCGTATCTGAACCTCACCTCCTCCACCCGCCCTGCCTGACCCTTGACGGCAGCCAAGCCCAGGCCCGACTCGACAAAAACAACACAGCAGCCTGCCGCCACCGCGCACCGCCAGAAAGTCGACAGCACAACACCTGGATCATCCACCATGGCAGACGACGACTCTTCGGACCTTTCCTCGGTCGATTCGCTCTCGCCCCCGCCGCCCGAGGACGACTGCGAGGTGCAATTGAAGAAGCAGGATGGCATCCTGAAGTTCTTCCACAAGGTGCCCAAGAAGCAGGCCGTCGCGGCCGCCAAGTCGGCGTCGCCACCGCCACCCAAACGGGCGCCATCTCCCGCGCACGAATACGTCTTGGCGGACAATCCAGATATTGCCGTGAGTTCATTTCGCAGCTTGTCGCGTGGAGAAGTCATTGTGACGCGAAATATCGCGTGCGAAGCGGAGGGGGTTGTGCACTTTGGTGGCAGCTCCTGGAGCACAGAGTGGGTGGCGGGTGAGTGCGAACTGGGGTTTTGCTGACGAGACGCGGCGCGCCCAACCAGTTCATCGTCATGTTCCGCAACAAATTCAACGACGTCTTCTCCAAAACCCTCACCACGTTTGGACCACAAGAGCTGGAGCGCGAAATTGTCGATTCTGTACCCGGAGATCGTGTCGAGGCCTTCCTGTGCGCCATTCTGAAGCTTCTTCTCAATCGCCAGCAAGAAGTCAAGTACATGCCCCCTCCATCCCTTTCCCCTGCCCACACCACATCCCATACAGCGCTTCTGATCCACCGAGCCGTCTACTTACCTTCGTCCCAATCGAAAAACAGGCCAGGACACTACAACCGGGCTCTCGAGGATGCAATCAAGACTCACGAGGCCTCTTGGCCGGGCTCCTGGGGCGGCGCCAATCCCCTCGCCGGCGGCACGACGTTCAACTCGATGACTCCGACTCAACGGGTGCGTACTCTGATTCCATTCGTCTCCGCTGTCCTGATACCCTACCTTGCCAATTCGTCTCGAAATTTCTTACACGGAACTGTTCCTGATCTCAGTACTTTGCTTCCAGCTCGATATCCTCCGCACCTTGATCCTGTGGACGATGCAGTCCTCCAAGACGGTCAAGGACATCATCGACAACGCGTACAAGAACAAGCGCCAGGAAGACGATCTCAATCAGCCACTCTCCGTCCAGCCTCTCGGTTCCGACAGTGACAAACGGCGCTACTTCTTGGTCGAAGGCCCCGAGTACACTTCGTTCCGCATATACCGCGAGAGCAACCCTGCTGGTTTCCAGCGTACCTGGTGGAGCGTTGCCGGCAGCATCGAGGAGGTCCATGCCCTGACGGGAAAACTTCTCACGGCCGACGGTGCCCCTAAGGCCCGGAAGCTGGGCCAGAAGCTCCAAGAGCAGATCCCCCACTTTGAGGAATCACTTGAGGTAAATTCACCTCCCCATTCTCACTCCAGCCCGCCTAGTAGTTGTAGCAATGCTAACCCCCTCAAAGAAGCTGAGGCGCCGCGAGTATCGACTTCAACGCAAGCAGCAGTTCAAGCGGCCCGATCCCGGCTTCTCGCTGTACGAGGGCCGCACGCGGGGCAAGCGCGCCAAGTACACCTACGATGACGAGGAGGACTACGAGTTCAACAGCGACTCCACCGCGACGCGGAGATCAACACGCAACACAGGCACACATACTCCGGCCGAGCCTGCTGGTCCTGTCACCACCGCCAGCGGCCGCCAGGTGCGCGCTCCTAGTCGCTTGAACGTCGAGACACGGAGCAACAACGGTGGCGGCACGAGCGCCAGCAATAGCGTTCGCGAAGACTCGGAGATGAGGGATGATGAGCCCAAGTCGGCCACAGGTCGTGGAGGTCGACCGCTCCGATCTGCTGCTGTAAATCACGGCATGAACGGCTGGGCGCCTGTGTCGAAGAAGAAGAAGGGCGGGGACGCCGACTCGTACGACTCGGATGCCGAGGATGAAGAGAGCGAGCCCGACTTTGGCGGTGACGAGGAAGATGAGCACGTTCCTGACGAGAGTGAGGAAGAGGTCGACGAGGAGTTTGAAGCGGACGACGCCAACATGGTTGACGATGACGACCAGGGCCCCGATACGTCGCTAGTCGTCAAACTCCCCGTCAAAGTCGTGTTGGACGGCAAAACTGGCAAGTACTCTAGGGCAACCAGGAGTAGTGGTGCCGCGCTTGCCAGTCCGAGCAGCAGCTCCGAGCGCAGTGCGGGACGCGCCGAACCCGGCACTCCTGACGGAACGGCCTTCCGCGCGACTCTCGGCTCTCCGGTACACACTGAAGAGGAGATCTCAGTTTCGATCAAGCCCGTCACTCCCGAGACGGAGAGCGAGACTAAGACTACGCACAACGCCCTGCCCACGACCTCTCTGGCTTTTAGAGGAAGCCCGGAGAAGTCGCAGCATACCCGGCGATCTGTCGATATCTGAGATGAGGACATTCACTGTTCTGGAAAGCCACCGACAGCGTGTCCCCACCACCTGAGGGGCTCTCATATCCAACCCCATTACATGTGAGACAATCCATCCACAGGATATGTGCCTGGCTGTTCACCAAGACATACAGCCCCCGATTCTCGGTGTTAGTTACCAGCACTGTTCATGGTATTTTCACCCATTCTCATGCCTTTTTTTTCTTCTGATTTTCCCTTCCCCCTACTACTACCTGTCTCTAGCTTCCGTCTTCTCTGCCAAAGGGCAATTATCTGTCGATGGAGTTTTGGTGTTGAAATCCTCGCTTCCTCTTCCTTTCTTATTATTTCCCCGAATGTCATGAAAGGGACTTGTCTATGACGAGGCGTTGGCAATTTGCATTGGAACAAAGGTGAAGCAAGGAACTTTTGACTTCGCCAATGAGGGGTGATAAGGGGTCACGATATGGCCGGCATAGAGGCTGTGATAGAGTAGCAACGCGCTACATAATTTTGTTGGCGACGATCCCTTCTGAAGAACGAAATTCATACCCCGATAGTCTGATGAATAGGAAGTCAACGGTGTATCGTTTTCACTACGACGCGAGTGAACTCGTCTTTCACATGCACCCAATATGCGCAAGCCTCTTCTCGGAAATCACTGCCGCGCACACAAGCCTTAATATTTGTTTCATTTGATGCGCTGCGCTACTGACTGTCCCCAGGACAGACGCGCCTACCTCCATTGCCGCGCATAGGACGGCCTGACGGCGGTGGTCCTGGACTTCTCTGGCGGGATGATCCAGTTGTTGACGCCGTACCACCAGCGCCTCAGCTTGGCCCCGGACGAACTGCCGTGCAGTTGCGCGTTCTTGTTCCAGTACTGCCATCCGCCTATCGCGAGGTTGTACAGCACGCCCTGCGCCAGGGGCATCATGACCTGGACGACAGAGCCAGCAAAGTTAGCACCGTGCCTGCCCTCTCCGATCCCATCAACTTTCCGGGAAGAGAAAGGATGGGGGGATTCCAAACGGACCTGGTCTCGGGCCGTGATCCAGGCCACCTTCCACCACGTGTCGGCCTTTGCTATGCTTCGGAGGTAGCTCTGCTCGAAGCGCAGGTCCGGAAGCGGGGGCATCTGGTGGGCTTGCCGGCGCGGCAGCGGCCTCAGGACGTCGTAGGGTATGTCCTCCTCCTCCTCCTCCTCATCATCATCATCGCCCCGCACGTCTTCGGCCTCGTCGTCTAGGCTGTCCACATCGCCGCCGCCATCGGGCTTTTCGTGTAGGGTCACGGGCTCGAGCTTGTCAGCGGCAGTCGAGGGGTTGAGGTCATGGCTGGCCGACGGGTGGCGGTTGATGTGAGCGGTCTGCACCGTCTCGGCCACCTGGAGAGGGACCGAGGACGACATTTTTAAGGGGGAGGGGTATCTTGCGGTGCGGGTAGTGGGGGAAGTTAGGGGGGTTCTCTATTTCGGTTGCTGTTTGATGCTTTGTCCGGTTCCAAAAGCCCCTCTTGCTCCTTGCGGACAACGTTCGGATCTAACGCGCTGAGATCCGGAGAGCTGTGCCTGTTGGGGTGGTACGCGCAGTTCAATCGATGACGGGCTTGGGAACGGGCGGCTCCCGCCTGGCAGTCTTGGGTAACCTTGCCGACGACCCGCTAGATATTCTGGGGGTGGGTCGCTGATAGAAACAGGAATACTTGGGCCAATTCACATGCTAACAGGGAGCACGGGCTCTGACAACAGCACAGGTACTTGGGAACAACAGTCAGGATACCACAGAAGAGTGAAACAAGGCTTAAGACACACGAAATCACATTAGAAACAGGGCATAGAGTATATACAGAAATGATATCGGAAACAGGAAAGGACATACCAAATTGGGCAGGCGACCTCCAAGATGCTGTTGGACAGCGGCTTATTAAAGTGCAGACTTTTCTTTGCCTGTCGTGCTAATGTCATACTTGCAGCTTCTAGTCCCTCTTGCGTCACTTGCCCGGTTTTGCGGATCCCGTTCGTCTAGTCCCCTATTTTCCCACCTAGGTATTCCTACCTAGGGCGGTGAGCCAAGGTGGTTGAGAATCAGGTGCTGAAGGCTGGAGCCGTGGGTAAGAATGACTCGCCCCAACCAATTAGCCTCGCCGATTTCTGCTGCCACTGCGGGCTTTTTGCGGCTCAGAGTTGACGGCACGACCTGCAGCGAGCGACAGCGAGGCACAAAGCACAAACTTGCAGCCACTCCCAACTCCTCTCCCCCCTCCTTCAAAACCCCACCACAAAAAATCCAGGCACACTCCAGCCGCCTGACTTTGTGCGCTGCCCGTTTTTCTTTGTTTATTCTTTCTCATTACTGTCACTGCCGGTTCTGCGACTTGCGAGGAGTTCGACGCTCCCTCATTGCGTGCATTTTGAGACCAGCAACGCACGCGCCCGGGACTAGTTCCAGCGGGAGAAGCCTGTCAAGATGAGCGACCCTCAGGGAAACGAGGCGGAGAAGAACGTAAGCCTCGTGCCCTTGCCCGTCGCTCCCACAGCGGCCCAGCCACGTCGCAGTAGCCGCGCCCAGCTCCCCCGACCCAGATCTCCGGACTGACAAAGCCCGCCGCATCCATCAGATCGAGATATGGAAGGTGAAGAAGCTCATCAAGCGCCTCGAGGCCGCCCGCGGTAACGGCACCAGCATGATCTCCCTGATCATCCGTATGTGGCCTCTCCTCCCCGCCCCCGCCCGCTGCGCCCGCCCTCGCCGACTTCGCACGTCTCGGCTCTGCTAACCCGCGCGAGCGCAGCCCGAAGGACCAGGTGTCGCGCGCCGCCAAGATGTTGGCTGAAGAATACGTACGTGGCCGGAGAAGGCTCCCCGCCCTGTCCGAGATGCCGTCGGCCGAGCCGACCCGATCCCCTGCCCCACTTGCTGACACTCGCTTCAGGGCACCGCATCCAACATCAAGTCCCGTGTCAACCGACAGTCGGTGCTGTCGGCCATCACGTCGACGCAGCAGAGGCTGAAGCTCTACAACAAGGTTCCGCCCAACGGCCTGGTCGTGTACTGTGGTGAAATCTTGACGTCGGAGGGCAAGGAGCGCAAGGTCAACATCGACTTTGAGCCGTTCAAGCCCATCAACACCTCGCTGTACCTCTGCGACAACAAGTTCCACACCGAGGCCCTCGCCGAGCTGCTCGAATCGGACCAGAAGTTTGGCTTCATCATCATGGACGGAAACGGTGCTCTCTTCGGCACTCTAAGCGGCAACACCCGCGACATCGTCCAGAAGTTCTCGGTCGACCTCCCCAAGAAGCACGGCCGTGGTGGTCAGTCGGCCCTGCGTTTCGCGCGTCTGCGTGAGGAGAAGCGCCACAACTACGTGCGCAAGGTCGCCGAGCTGGCAGTACAGAACTTCATCACTGCCGACAAGGTCAACGTGGCCGGCATCATCCTGGCCGGTTCTGCCGACTTCAAGAACGATCTGAACGCGTCCGACATGTTTGACAACCGCCTGGCCACCAAGGTCATCAAGGTCGTCGACGTCTCTTACGGAGGCGAGAACGGCTTCAACCAAGCCATCGAGCTGTCGGCCGAGACGCTTGGTAACGTCAAGTTCATCCAGGAGAAGAAGCTGATCGGCAAGTACTTTGAGGAGATCAGCCAGGACACGGGCCGCGTGTGCTATGGCATGGAAGACACCCTCAAGGCGCTGGAGCTTGGCGCCGTCGAGATCCTGATCGTGTTTGAAAACCTCGAGATGAACCGCTGGACTCTCAAGGACAGCAGCGGCACCGAGCACATCATCCACTCCACCAAGGCCCAGGAGACGGCCAGCAGGGACCAATTCCTCGACAAAGAGACGGGCCAGGAGATGGAGATTGTATCGCAGGAGTCCTTCCTCGAATGGATCGCTGAGCACTACAAGGACTTTGGCACGACGCTGGAGTTCGTCTCGGACCGTTCGACCGAGGGCAACCAGTTCGTCAAGGGCTTCGGCGGCATCGGAGGCCTTCTGCGATACAAGGTCAACTTTGAACAGTTGGCTGAAGTTGACGACGACGACGACTATTACGATGGTAAGGCAGAGATTCGACAAGACTCCGGAAGAACTGAGACTGACAAGGTGATGGCAGATTGACAGACTGAATCCCTCGTTGACAACGAGGGATCCTCGACTCGAGTAGCCGAGCCCGAGCAGGCGGTCATCGAGCAGCGGGCGGCCAAGTTGTCGCCCGCGGAGCGGCGAGTGAAGAAGGGTTTCCCGTTCAGCCCAAGCCTCAACGGGGGTCACCAGGTCGCGCGCCCGAGCCCGCTTCGCGCTATGATGACGGCTTCTTGAGTTTTCTTTCGAGAGGAGAAAGAAGAATGATTGTGAGGTGAGCTTAGGCCTTCCGCGGGGAGCCCTCTCTGCACTAGGGAATGTAGAAAATGGCGTTTCTTTTGCTTTGGTTTTGCATGTTTTATTAATAAAATGGTGTCGGTGTTAGATGAGCGAGCACCTCCAAAGGCCTGCTGCAACCCACTCAGAAAACAAGATCCAAAAGAAAACCAAGAGGCTTAACGTCAGTCATGCGCAAGGCCTGATCGGTGGTGGTTCGGTTCTCGGGGGGGAGCAAGGTGCGAGGAGGCATCGTACGAACGGGGGGCTAGGAGCATCAAGGGGGACTTCTTGGAGGGACTTTGTACCACGAGGCACTTGTCCAGGTAGTTAAAGGAACCTAGAGAGAGAGGGAGAGAGCGGAAGCGAGACGAGGCTGCGTCTTTGTATGGGCGAGTCTATCCTAGGGGTTCTTTTCTTGAAGGAAGGGTTTTATGGTCTGGCCTTGACGGCATTTTATCGGCCATTGTAGGCGACTCCCTGAATACGCAGGGTCAAGATACAATGGACATGGCTCCCTGACTGGGTCAGCTCTGGCATTGGTGTCAAATATTGATTGTGTATTTTGTGTATACACCCTCCCACTCTCTGCATGCGTCCATTTCCCCCCCTTTCCCATAGCATTTCTACAAATGCGGCGGAAATAAGGACCAACCCGCTCACCGGCGGCTCTCCCAGCTGCCGAGCCACCTCGAGCCGTGGGCGACGCGCCGGACGTCGGCGAGCACGGCGGCGACCTTTTCCCGCGCGTCTGCGGCCGCCTCGACCTCGAACTCGACAAAGAAGAGGTACTGGAAGGGCCGGATCAGGCTCGGGAGGCTGTTGATGCTGGTCAGGTTGAGCCCCGCGCGGCGGAAGCACTGCAGCACGTCGGCCAGCGAGCCGGGCGAGCGGTGGGGCACGGTGAAGGAGACGAGGGACTTGGACGTTCCGGGCGGAGGAGGGATGTTTTGTTGGGGTGGCGGAGGGGGAGGGGGAGGAGGACATGTGGTACTAGCAGTAGCAGTAGCAGCAGCAGTAACAGAAGGAGGAGCAGATGAAGAAGGGCCAGCACCAGTAGCGTCGTCGTCGCCCTTGCGGATGACGAGGAACCGCGTCGTGTTGTCCTCGCGGTCCTCGATGCAGGCGGCCAGGACGTCGAGCCCGTTGGGCGCCGCGGCGGCCTCGCTGGCGATGGCGGCGCTGGCGCCCTCGGTGTCGGCGGCGGCCAGCTCGGCGGCGCGGCTGGTCGAGCTCACGTCGGTCAGCTCGGCGTGGCTCAGGTAGGCGGCCGCGAAGCGCGACGTCTGGCCAAAGGCCTGCGGGTGCGAGTAGACGTGGCGCACGTGCGCGAGGCTGGCCAGGGGCTTGCCGCGCTCTCTCTTTTCAGTGGCGGTTGTTGTGGCGGCGGCGGTGGTGGTGGTGGTGCTGCTAGGGTCGAGCCGGCCGAGGAGAAAGTGGTGCACGTCCAGGTAGTGCTCGGCGCAGACGCTGACGCCGGCGTACTCGGCGGCGCGGTCGCCGAGGCAGTCGAGCGTAAAGGTCACGACGCCGTGGGTCGAGTTCTCAAAGGGGACGACGCCGTATGTGGCGGTTCCGGCCTGGACGGCATCGAAGACGCCTTTGTTTTGTTGTGGTTGTTTTGACGGTGTAAGTGGAAGCCTTGGCTACTGCGAACATCGGAGTCTCTCCCTTCCTTATTTGCATGGATGTGTCACCTGTCAAGATGTCTGTACATGCCTCTGATGGTTGGGACAGGAGCCAGGTCCCAGCCCTGGCCTGGGAAGAGAGCGGTTGTGGCCTTTGGGAGTGTAAGTGAGTGGTGAATTTCTGCTACTCAAAACCCCGCACACAGAGGAACTACACATACTTGGTGGGAATACGATGCGAGCGGTCCCAGGAACGACACGACCGTCTTGTCCTGGGCCAAGGGCGTGTCGTTTGATGTTCCAGTCGATGCCATACTGGAAAGGATTTGCTGCTACTAGTGTGAAGAAAAAGGGGAAAACAAAGCCGGGTCAATGCTTCTGTTGCGACTCGTCTTGGTCTCATAAAGGGGGTTTTTTTTTTTCATATTGGCTCCCGATGTCGGGCACGAATTGCAACCAACGATGGCCTCTGGTTGGCACGGGCTGCGGCCAATAGGCCCAGCAGCGTTGATGACTTGCACGCTGAGCGTTGGGGTTCAGCGTTGCACCGCCTGTATTTTACGGAGAAGAAGGTAACAACCAATTAACCTCGCCCGCTGGATTTGGCAGCCTCAAACGTGATTGGGGCTCGACACGACACCAATGGATAGCACAGGTACTCCACGAATTCAGCACAGCACGTCTGAACTGCTAGGTCATCTCCCTCATCGTCCCTGAACCGCCACAATGCAGCAGCTCAAGACGGCCAGGCCGAGGCTGAGGCTGAGGCCGAGGTCACTGGCCGCCGCCGTCGCCCCCGCACATGTCCTCAGACGACGGGTGCATGCCGGCTACCAAAGCCACGACCAGAAGTTGAAGGGCTCCAACGAGGGTGGGCAGGGCCGGGACAACGACAGCCAGTTCGCGCACCCGGGCAACCCGACCGAGTGGAAGGACGCCTACTACGAGTCGCAGCTGCGCCTCGAGATGATGAACCGGCCCCGGCGCCGCACCTGGGACTACCTCTCCCCGACCCCGACCAGCCTCCTGGACCTGGCCCTCGACGACTTCCTGCCCCGGGACGCTCGCCCGTCCCACTTTCGCGGCTGGCTGGGCCGCCGCACGGCAGCGGCGTCAGCAGCAGCAGCAGCAGCGGCCAACGGCGGCGGCGGCAGCAGCAGCAGCGACGACGGTGACGGTGAGACGCTCATCCCGCGCCGGACCACGGTGCACCTGATGCGGGAGGGCGCGTCGCCGCTGATGGGGCCGCGAGGCGCGGCGGGCGGGCCGACGCCGCTGCCGACGCTCCACCGGCCCGGGTCGTCGTCGTCGCTGCTGGACCCGACGCCGCTGCCGCAGGGCCACCACCTCGTCTACTTCCCTCCGCAGCTGTCGGACCAGGAGCTGCTCCCGGACGGCACCGACCCGGCCCACTGGCCCGGCCTGCCCTTCACGCGCCGCCTGTGGGCCGGCGGCTCCGTCACCTACGCCCGCGGCTGGGAGCGGTCCCTGCGCTTCAACCGCACGCTGGCGCCCATGTGGTGCGACGAGTCGGTCCAGCACGTCGAGCTGAGGCTCCAGCCGCCGCAGCCGCCGCGGCAGAGCACGGCAGAAGAGGAGGAGGAGCAGCAGCAGCAGCAGCAGCACGACGGCGCCCCGCCCGGCAAGGTCACGGTCACGCTGTCCCGGAGGTACGGCTTCGACGGGTCCCGGGCCGCCGTCATCAGCGAGACGCGCAACCTCGTCTTCATGCGCGACCACCCGCCTGGCGAGGGGCCGAGGATGCCCCCATCGATAACGAAAACGACAACGACAACGGTTGGCAGCGGCGAGACCACCACCACCACCACCACGTCGCCGCCGTCGCCGCCGCTCATGCACCGCCGCAAGCCCGACTACAGCTTCGAGATGACGCCGTCGCGCCGCCTGCTCTTCCACTTCAGCGCCCTCAGCCACAACGCGCACCTGATCCACCTGGACCCGGCCCACGCCCTGGCCGAGGGCCACCGCGCGCCGCTCGTCCACGGGCCCCTGACGCTCGTGCTCATGCACTCGGCCCTGCGCGCCCACCTGGGCCACATGGGCGCCGCCGTCCGCTCCATACAGTACCGCAACCTGGCCCCGCTCTACGCCGACGAGCCCCTGCGCGTCTGCGTCCGCCGCGTCGAGGCTGCCGACAGCCAATTCACCTACTCGGTCTGGATCGAGACCCTCGACGGCAGGCCGGGCGCCAAAGGCACAGCCGTGTCGTACCTGGTGGACCAGGACATGCTATGTGATATGCCCCGGCGGTAGTGAGGGCAAAGAGAGGGAGCGCCTTGCCCGCGGAAGTGTATTAAATAATGTTAATTTTGATGGGTATCTTGCGCTTGGCTTGGTCTATCTGTCCGGAACTTGAAAGGAAAAGAAGCAAAACAGAGAAAAATGTAACCAGGAACGAGGCGCGAGTACAAATAAAACCTCGAAAATAAAACAAAAATCCATCCACATCTACCGAGGAAACATAAACCAACACACACATCAAGAAGGCACCGGCACTGTCAGGTGCCAGTTCTCCCACGAGCTCCTCGACTCCGGATCGGCCTCGTCGCCGGGGAGCCCCAGCCCCAGCCCCAGCCCCAGCCCGATGTCGAAACTGAGCTTGTACGGGCTCATCAGCGGCTCGACCGGGAAGTCGGCCGACGAGACGCGCCGGTCCCAGCGCCGCCGCCTCTTTACGCCAAACAGCAGCTGCGCGTCGTCGTCGTCGTTCGTCTTCTCCCCATCCAGCATGACCGAGAGCATGCCGGCCTCGCCATCGACCGAGTCGCCGTCATCATCATCATCTGCGTCGCTCTCCTCCTTCGCCCCGGGGGAGGCGCTCTGCTCCGGCAGCAGCCGGAGGCGGTTGCGCGCGAGGACCGCCTCGATGGCCGCCGCCGCGCCCTGCACCTCCTGCTTCAGGTCCTTGCCCGCCGAGGCCCGGGCCGCCGCAGGTATGTTCTGCAGGGCCCGGTCCAGCAGGCTCTGCTGGTGGTCAGCGCTGAACGGGAACTGCACCAGGCTGCCGCAATTGTCGGTGATGGCCTTGCGCATGAACAGAAGCGACGTCAGGTTTAGCTCGGACCCAGAGAGGTCGAGGCGCCGCAGCGTTGTGTTGTCGCGCACGCCCGAGCCCAGGCCGCCAACCTCGGTGCTCAGGTTCTGGTTGCGCACCACGAGAACCCGCAGAGTCGTGTTGCGGCTCAGCCCTGTGAAGGCGCGCCCGAACCCGCGCCCGAGCTGGCCGTCGTCGAGCTTACCGACGTAGCCCGATAGGTCGAGCCATCGGATCGAGCGGTTCTGCGCCAGCAGCTGCTCGAGCGCGTCGCACGCCGCGTTGGTGCACGTCGCGCTCGGCAGCGGCGTGGGCGCCGTGCCCACCAGCGACACGACCGGGAACCGCTTGGACACGGTGATCGCTTGGATGAGCCGCACGTAGGCCTCGTCGCGCCGGAACTCTACCATGTCCATGTGCAACCCGATCCGCCCTTCGGAGCACAGGGCGATGGCAGATGCGAGAGCCTCGATGCCACGCTCAAGAGGGTTCGAGCCGAGGTGCAGGTGCAGCCCTTCAAGACCGGAAACGGCGCCGAGGATGCGCGCGGCCTGGAACCCGTCTATGCTGCAGTCATTCAGCCTCAGCTGCCTGAGCCTTGGGGGGAAGCCGCCCTGCTGTTGGGCATGTCGCCCAGCAGCTACTCTTTGCTCGAGGAATCCGACAAGGGCTCGTTCGGTATCCATAGACAACTATGTCACACCGTATGGTCAGTCCCTGAGTCCTGCTCAACTGAGAACGGGTTCGCTCACCTTGTATCCTGATATGTCGATTTCCTGGATATTCTGGAATGCCACAAGGCTCTCGTAAGGCAATAGGGCGCAATACTCTGGACCAACTACCGCATCTGCCAAGTTGAGAATGTGCAGGTCGGACATGGAGTCAACGAAGCGGGTAACGGCATCGGCAGCGACGCGCCCCGTGTTGTGCGAAATATCCAAAAGCTGCAGCGAATGTCCCTGTGACGACAGCGCCTCAACTATCAGGTACATCTCCTGACTACACAGGGAGCACCTGGACATATCCAATGCCTGCAGACCTGGGATAAGATGCAGCGGGACGTCGTCTTCCAGACCGTCCCGGTTGAGAAATGAGACTGGACAGGGCAAGGGCGTTAGTCATATTACAACATGCCTAACTGATTGCCAAAGAGAAGATAGCTTACGGAGCGAGGCCACATCGCCAAGCCCGAGTGGGCAGCCACTGAGCAAGATCCGATTGCAGTTGGTCAAGCCGACACCAAGCAGGTTCAATATCGGAGCCAGAACCTGGGCATCAGGCTTGTGTGGCAGGCTGGGAAGGTTAGGCAGCGAGTCTGTGAAGTCCATCTGCCGAAGTGAAGGGATACAAAAGGCCAAGGCGTGAATCTCCTGAGCAAGGATCGAGCCTCCTTGGACTGGCTTGCACAGCTCAGAGCTTAGCATGGTTCCTGTGTGGTAGTGCCGTGTCAGATCAGAGTCCGCCTCATGTTATCCCATGTAGGTACACCGCATAGTGCTTGCGTGATTTAGAGCACTTACCATCGTGGTTAATGTACGCAACCGATGCCGGCTTATCACTGTCAAACTTGTTCCATAGCGGGACCAGACTGACACCGCGGAATGAGATGGATCCGATACAGTGGTTATACCGTGCTGCCCTCATGATGGCGAGCAACTCGAGCGGCTCGTACCTAAGCTTCCCTTTTGGCGGCAGAATGCGCAGCTCCGGGCCGTACGCGGCATCAAGCCCGATCTCCCACTCGACCTGCCCGCACTCGTATGCCGCGCAGAAGGCCTTGTGCGTTCTGTGGATGCTACCATACTCGTCGGGCATGGCAATGATTTCATTCTCGCCCAGAGGCGGCAGGTCGTCGATCCTGAACAGCTGCGTCCTTCGCAGAGAGCTTGGCCAACCAGGCCGTAGCAACTCGTCCGCCTTCAGCAGGGTCTGTATTATCTGGTAGTAGAACCGACTCGACATGTGCAGATATGAGGGGTTGGTCTCGAGAGGTTTCCTAAACAGTTGCTTGTCAGTGGGCTGGATAAAGTCAAGCGAGTTATTCCCCCCAAGAGAGACCGTGTCACACTTACCGGAATCTCAACTCAAGTCTATCCTCCCGAGGACTCCAACAGCCAAGAACGCACTCGAGGTTCATCAGGCCATACTTGGCATAGCTCACAACGAGTGCTTTGTTCTCCGAAGGACGCGTCACCTTGACAAAGTAGCAGAGATTGATACCGACGGCAAAGTAGTAGGACTCGTTCTCGACCCACTTGACATTGTCGGCAAGTCTGATGCCCACGGGGAATATCTCGGGCTGCAGCAGGGAGTAGCCAGGCTCTTCCCCACGGCAGATGTCGCGCAGCTTCTCCTCGATTTCATAGGCGACACGGGGGATGCCAAAGTGGGCGTCGTCCTTGGCCTGGATAGCCTCGTGGACGCTGTCGAGCACGAGGTCCCTATGGTCCGGATCCTCGGCGAAGAACTGACAAGCCCCGAAGGACGCCAGGGAGTGGACCGACTTCCACCAAATCTCCAGGCCGAAATAAGGGCGCGAGCTCTCGGCTCGTGATGCCGACACCACCGAGGTAATGGGGATCATCTGGAGCACCTCGGGGTTCGAGGAGCGCTCGCCGGCGGGCAAGGCCACGGGGCCAACGTCAGACGGGATGCTGGGAAAGAGACCGCGGACGTCGGCGGTCGTTTTAACCTTGACGACGTAATCGCTCGTCACCACCAGATATGCGAACCCATTCCGACGGAACTGATGCTCCTGTATAATCTTGAAGACCCCCTTGACCGTCTGCAAATCCCACTGGATCCTCCCATCGATACTGTTTGTCGAGCTCTGGGAGACCGAGGTGGTCTCCTGCGAGCAGGTGCCGCGGTTGAAGTCGGACCTAGACGACTCCCTACGACCTAGCAGGCTGGTGATGTTCCCGACCGAGGCGGTCCGCTGTTTTCTGAGTATCCTAGGCGAGCGCGAGCCGGGGATCGACAGCTCGCCCGCATCGGGGGCGGAGACGGCGACGACGGGCGGCGATAGGGAAATTGGGGGAGAGGTGATGCTCAGGGCGCGGATCGAGCGGATTATGCTACGCCTCCTGGGCGCCGCGATGGTCGGAGTAGACAGGGACGTGCCGAGTTTCGGAGGCGACGCCGACGGCGACGGCGTGATCCACTCGACGGCGGTTTCCAGGTGTGGAAGGGAGGTGTTTCGCGAGTGTGAGCGGGACCCTAGCAGGCTCTCGGATAGCCTGTGCCTTTTCGGGTGATCCATCGCAAGCATAGCCTCGGCTCGGTCGGCTAGCCTAGCCTCGGACGGCTTTCGTTCTTTGGGGCGGGACCGATACAGAGACAATGGCTAGGAGGCGGGCGGGTAGATAGGAGCGAAACAGGGAACGATCTTCGTTGCCCGTGGTTGGGAGGGCTCCTGCGCTCCGAGCCCCTCTGAGCCACACACTCTAAGCTTCGGTGGCTGGCAATCCACACGACATGAGCATATGGCGCTGGAGCCCGCAATACATCTGGTGACGTGGACGGCGTGCGTCGTCGAGGCCCTCGCGGAGGTCAGAATCGCCCGTGGTCGGCAGACATTAGATTACGAGATGGGCGGGCTGCAAGTGGCAGACGAAAGCGGAAAGAAAGAAACAGCAAAAAAAAAAAAGGGGGGGCGCCTGTCGCAGACAACAAGACGAGACAACAACAGAACGCGGGCACCAGAACAAAACAGTTCCTAGCGTCGCGGGAAGAGATGGCACATGACCAGAAAGACAGCGATCGGGCGATGGGTGATAAGAGAGAAAAAACGAAGCCAAAGGGGAAAGCCGGGACAACAGGGCACGGCGTTGCTGCCGTGCGTGCAGTGCAGTCGCTGTGGTTGGGTGGGCAGCCGATACGATGCCACGAGTGATCGTCACCATGGGCCTGATTCCTGAACCTGTTTCGCTGCATGCAGGGAGCATTGGCCAATGGCGGCGGCGCTGCGCCGCAATGGGCCTCGGTGGTGGGCGCACAGTGCAGTCCCGTCCCTCCAGCCAGCACACGCCGCGTAGTATTTTCTGTATTTCTG